CTTAAATTTAATGACTTTGTTTTACTTTCAAAATCACCGGTGTAAGAAGGGGTTTTCAAGTTCACATTGTGGAGAGGATGCCACTTAGGCTTTGCATATCACACGGTCTCAGAGATGCTACTTGCGTTGTCCAGTATGTAATATCTGGAGAATTTCATTGCTGGTGTGTTATTATACATTATCTATAGGATGGTGCACAATATTGTGGAGTATGCCAATATGTATTAAAGGAATTATTTCCTTTAAATGCTTTAAGATGCTCATCTTTTTTCGGACATTTGTCTGAATACGATCGACCTTCTTGTAACATGGTTTGTCAATTTATTTCGCTGTATCTTTATATGAGTAAAAAAATTATATTTCCATATGGTATGCGCATTCTAAAGTTCATCTCATGATTTTCACACATTCTGAAAAATGAAATTCCGCAATAATTGCAACGTTTTGGGCCCGTTTCCATGAAACTGTTCCCATGCTCAAGTACGGATTCTGTGCTCAAACCAGCTTTATTGTTACTTACTTGAATCATGTCAAAAATCAAATATAAACATTAAAACAGTAGTTTGTTTTAAGTCCCTTAAAATGTTTTTGAAATGATTAACAAAATAAGATTTTTTGAAATTAATTTATAACCGGAACAAGCTTAAAGATTGGGCTTGAGCACAACATCCAGGCTTGAGCATGAGCACGGTCTCATGAATACTGTCCCATATTGCTCTTAACAGCGACAAAAAGTGAAGTCTATTTCAATCGTTGAGACCTCATTTGTCCGTTCAGAATATCAAGTTGTTTCAAACTGACATTCTGATCTAAAACCGACACTTGAAAACTAGTAGACATGCAATCCCGTGTGTCGACGTTTTAACAAGAAATTTGCAACACCATTTTCACTAAGACAGTATCCGATTAGATAACATGGTTTGCCGTATAAATGGTTGGTACATGAATATTGAACTCGCAGGTCTTTGTAATGTACAATTATTTGACACTAGTAATTATCAATAATAATGTGGGTGGTTATTTATTAACCCACCATCATCTGCTGGTGGGCTATTCAAATCGCCCTGCGTCCGTGGTCCGTCCGTCCGTCGGTCGTCAGTCGTCCGTCCTTAAACAATTCTTGTTATCGCTATTTCTCAGGAGGTGCCAGAGGGATCTTTCTCAAATTTTATATGTATGTTCCCCTTGGTCCCTGGTTGTGCATATTCACTTTTGAGACTGATCAGATAAATAAAAAATAAAATAGCCGACAGTCAGTCATCTTGGATTTTGACAGTGAATGTTGGTTATCGCTATTTCTCAATAAGTACCTGAGAGATCTTTCTCAAATTTAACATGTAGATTCCCCTTGGTCTGTCGTTGTACATGTTTAATTTTGAGACTGAACGGATAAACAAAATGGCTGACAGGCAGCCATGTTGAATGTTTACAGTGAAGTGTTTTTTTGTAATAGCTATTTCTCAATAAGGACTGATGAGATCTTTCTCAAATTTGACATGTAGGTTCCTCTTGGTATGTAGTGATGCATGTTTATGAGACTGATCGGATAATCAAATCTTTGATTTTGACAGTTAAGGTTTGTTAGTGCTATTTCCCATGAAGTACTAGAGAGTTCTTTCTCAAATTTTTATATGCAGGTTCCCCACTTTCGTTCATGTTTGTTTTTGAAACTGATCAGATAAACAAAATGGCGGACTGGCGGCTATCTTCGATCCTTTTTGAAATTGAAGGTTTGTTAGTGCTATTTCTCAGGAATAACTCGAGGGATCTTTCTCAAAGAGCTATTGCGGGTTGCTATACCTATTGCCGCGTCCTCAGGTATTTTTATACAGGTAGCTCTATCGGAATCCCGCGTCTAAGAATAGATTATTGTAAACAGACGAACTTAAGGCCACACTAATAATACATGCATTTTACGATAAAGACTCAACAAAATGCGTACATACGCACATCTCGTTTTGGTTCCTCCCGCAGCTTGAAATGGTAAAATAACTTATGATTTTCGAATAGCATGTCTTACACGTGTATTGCGCTCCTTACTTTGTGCTGCAGTCTTCCTGCATTTAAAACAAATAAGAATGTCTTCGACGATGAATTTCCCCGCATGTTTGGTAATATATTTGCGATAATAACAGTCCTTTTTTCTTGACCTTTTCTTATTCTGACGGAACAATCCCACATTGCGTTTTAATTATAAATAAAAAAAAACTAGTGCCAATTGGAGGGCAAAACAATTCATAAGTATCGTTAAAAATGATGTTCTACCTACAACAGTGATTTGCTGACATGATTCCATAGAAGATAGATCAATAGGTATGCTATTAAAATGTCAATAAAATGTTCCACTAATTTCAACAATGTTTTATAACTGAATTATTAAAAAAAAAACCCACCTGAACGTGAATTAGAACTAGCAACGTTTACTTCTTCTGATCAAAAGCTAACTGCGTTACACATTAGGCTACATCGGACATAGACGAATATGGAAATACAAACTGTTTTAATTAACCCAAGGAACATCTGTCACAATTTTGGGAAACTCGATCAATCCTGTTTTTCATCATTTTGAGCACTTTCCCAAGGGAGGACCACTTTTCCGTCATACGATTTGTTTTGCATGTTACATTTATAACGGAATCAAAAACTGTAGTCAAAAGTTGCTCCTCGGATGGGAAAGTGTGGAAAGTCTGGGAAACCCCGTCACTTTCATCGATATAGTGAATATGGCTCTATTTGCAGTATTATATTAACAATACCGAATATCTCAACAGTTCAAGAATTCATATTCAATTGGTTTGATATATATTCCATGCATTTTCGCTATTAGAATTTATTCATTCATCAACATTTTTTTCCGTTTTCATAAATGCCGACTTAGGGAAATATTGGCAGTTTTTCGCCATAGCTCTTTGATATGTAGGTTCGCCTTGATCCCTCGTTGTGCATGTTATAAATTTGAGACTGATCATAAAAACAGGGCCGAAGGAAGGACTAAACAGATTTTCTCATATTCAGTGATCGGTTCTTTCACATTAAGTACTGTCCCAGTAAATATGTGACAAACTCACTTTGAAGGTTGTCTTTTATACACAGCAGTATTAAGTTCAGATCAAAAGTTACCTCAAGGTGCATTTACTGTTAACATGAATCGATCAAACAGATTAGAGAAAAGAAGAGAAAATATCGAACTGACAAAGAACTAATAAAGATAGTACAATAGTGGGCGCCAAGATCCCCCTTGGATCTCCTGTATCGTGTGACAGGTATGAACATGTGGGGTAAGTCACTTATACCGTTTACCATAATAAAGAACAGTCTGGCCCATTAGTCCAATACATATATACGATAAATGCTTCTTCATACATTTACCTCTCAAAATATCTATATCAACGCGACAAAATCAGTCATCATAACAAATACATGATTTATTCGTCCTTGTTAACCTCTTAGAAATTAGAAGCCCGTCAGGCCTGTAGCGCTTACATGAGGGTATGAAATGCTTCCGCTAAATTGAGACCATTGTGGCTGTGTCAGATTTCTAATTGACCCAAATAACTCGTATAATATAACTGGTAATGGTAATGACAGGATTATGTGTAAGATATATAGTTGAAACTGATGTGTTTGAATTAACAGTTGGTAAAAAAAAGCCTGAGAAGGAAATGCAATCAGTGGAGATGATATTAGGTATCGATGTTAAAATGCAAGTTGTTTATCAAAAAAAACAATTGGTCCTGGTTTAATCCATAGTGAAATTTAAAAAAGGAAAAAATGTATTGTTTGAGCCCCATTCATAGTATAGCAGTGTAAAGCAGTACAATGATAGCCGATGTCAAAAAGTGCCACAGATGTATTGCATCTAGTTACAGACTGTATTGGCTGTAAAATAAATGGAATGGTATATTTTTTAGATAAAAGAAATCAGAAAAAATACAGAACATCAGTCTGGGTCAGCTGTAAGTCAATCACTTTAAATAAACAAGGTATCGAGAAAACCAAAACAAAATGACGATGAAGAAATTCTAAATGTCTTCTTTGCTACAGGTGTACAATTTTGAACAGTGTTTGGCATGAAGGGATATTATACAATTTGACATAAGATGGGATATCCGAAAAGTAATCAAATCTCTTGAAAGTTATTTGAAAAACAGCAACAAGTAAAGGGTAGTTTTAGGCGAAAAATATTAAAGATATTACAGCAGGTGTTCCACAAGGATCAACACTGGGACTTTTATTTTGTTCACATATCATACTGTTATTGATCTGAGATGTAAGATAAAACTGTTTTAATCTTAAATGTGGATAACTCAAATAAAACTATAAGAACAACATAAATGGTACTCTCCAAGGCATGTTAACATAAAGCATACGTAAGAGTTAGTTTCAAACGTCCATTTATATTAAGAAAATTGAAGGTTTAAAGTTGATAGAATATCTTATATCAATATCAATATCAAATCATAATATCAAATAATTGAATATGGGTACAAAAATAATCCACGCGACATATCAGTAAACGGGAGCGATGTGAAGATATAATTTTAATTAAATTGATTATTAGCTTATGCCATGGAACGGCGTCTGTCGTCCGTCCGTCGGTGTCGGTCAACTTTTCCTTTTGAACGACTTCTACTGAAGAACGGACAAGCCTAGAGTCATGATATTTGGGTGATAGCTTCGTTGGTAAGATCCCAACAAAGTTTGAGAACGAAAATGACCTTGACCTACATTCAAGGTCACAGAGCTCTAAAGTGTCAAATACTTAAAACGACTTCTTCTGAAGAACTGAAAGGTATACAATCTGAATATGTTGCTGGTGGCTTCGTTGGTAAGAGCTCAACAAATTTTGAGAACGAAAATGATCTTGACCTACTATCAAGGTCACAGTGGTCAAAAGTGTCAAATACTTAAACGTTTTTTTCTGAAGATCTGAAAGGTATAGAATCTTATTATGTGGCTGGTATTTTTTTTGGGATAGAGCCCGACATTTTTGAAGAATGAAAATGACCTTGACCTACTTTAAAGGTCACAGGGGTCAAATGTGTAAAACAAATTAAACTAAATCTTCTGAAGAACTGAAAGGTATAGAATCTTCATATTTGGCTGGTGGCTTCCTGCGATAGAGCCGGACAAAGTTTGAGAATGAAAATGACCTTGGCATCTTTCAAGGTCACAGTGGTCAAATATGTCTAACACTTCAAGCGACTTCTTCTGAAGAACTTAAAGGTATATAATCTTCATATTTGTCTGGTGGCTGCCTGGGATAGAGACCGACAAAGTTTGAGAATAAAAATGACCTTGACCTACTTTCAAGGTTACACGGGTCAAATATATCAATCACTTTAATCGATTTCTTTAGAAGATCTGAAAGATATAGAATCTTCATATTTGGCTAGTGGCTTCCTGGGATAGAGCCCGACAAAGTTTGCGAATGAAAATGACCTTGACCTACTCTAAGGGTCATAGGGGTCAAACATGTTAAAAAAATCAAATGACTTCTGAATAATCGAAAGACTGAATCATGATATTTGGCTGGTAGTTTCAACAGACGGAGTCGACAAAGTATGGGAGTGAAATCTTTGTATTACAGTATAATATTTAATGAGAATATTCTGCTTAAATATTGAGGTGATCAGTACAGGCCCTCTGGGCCTCTTTTTAAAAGACAGGTACAATTGAATTGAACCCATCTTCAATTAATTTTACCTATCTTCAATTATTTTCAAGATGGGTACAATTAATTAAATATATGTTAATTTGGCGTTCCATATTGTGAGAAAGTAAAAGTAAACAAGTTACAATTAGAAAAAGCAAAAACTGTTACAAGAGCACTAAACTAGCAGTAGTATTGAACCTTTTATCTAGACACTTTGTGGGAAAACACCGGTTCCATAAAATGGTCAACAACATGTCGCGTACCAATCCACACTAGTCCCTTCCTGGACTTCTGAGACCAACACATACAAGATCTGACCTGATCGTCCAAATACACACAGATAAAGACTCTTACCCCGATCAGTTCGCTCTTCGAATAAATTACCCGTAAACGTAAGTCAGTTCAAGAACTAGAAACATATCTCTAGTGGCAATACAACGAACGCTCTAGAATGCAAGCTCTCATAGACGTCAAATACTGCATGCTAGTAGACTACTCAGATTCAGTTGTATCTTACGAAGTTCAACATTCATTTCATGGACACTCACAACGCTGTTCTTGTGCTTATTCATTTTTCGTTTCGTTTAATTTGTAATTTAAGAACACTCAAATCATGAGTATATATCAAATATCATTTTAAAATACGACTTACAAAATGATGTATCGACGATAGATGAGGTCCTGTTTGTTTGTTATATTTTCTGTTTCTTTTTACTATCAAAATAGCTAAAAGCCGACCTTTTATGTAGAATTATGAAATTTCACAATCCAAGTCTTCCAATTTGTCTCTGCTGTTTTCCGTCTGTCATCATTGATGTGAGCTTTGCCGTAATGTCTTATAACCACAGATCTTGTAATGTGGTCGATATCGCTTTAACTTTAACTTTAACTTCCTATACTCAATGCCGCTAGGAGGTAGATATTGTGTTCCAAACTTTGTCAACAATGTTTATTTCATTATTTTCTGAAGACTATTTTTTCTGTTTTAATATAGAAATACACGAGTGCTTAAATAAAGAAAAGTAATTTCTGTTGGAATTATTTTAGTGCTCAGATTCCCAGCGCTTTGATTTGTCTCTAACAAAGTTCAATTCAGCATATTTTTGACGTTGAGTTGCTTGTTCATTTTATATAGAAGTGATTTTTAAAAACAATGTATTTATAATAATTTCCTTTTAAACAAAACTACTTCGCCACCAGAAATCGATCCCCGGACGTCTTTACCGTTTGTTTGTTTTTACTGGGAATAATTTCAAGACGTTCCAACTTTCTGAAAAGGCAGGCAACATATATAATTGTATTCACATGAAAAAACAAGAGATCCCACATGGATCTTGGTGCCCACCTTTGTACCATCTTCATTAGTTCTTTGTCAGTTCGATCTTTTCTCTTCTTTCCTCTAATCTGTTTGATCGAGTCATGTTAACAGTAAATGCACATTGATGTAACTTTTGATCTAAACTCAATACTGCTGTGTATGAAAGCCAACCTTCAAAGTGAGTTTGTCATTTCACATATTTACTAGTACAGTACTTAATGTGAAAGAAATAGAATCGATCATTGCAATATGAGAGACTCTTTATTACATCGAAATTTGGAAAGTGTAATTTAACATAGGTCATAATTTTGCAATGAATAAATTATCGCAGATCACGATTTTACACCAGCAGCATACGGTAGAATTACGACAACATGTCTGCGTCGTACGTGGGTAATTATTTGAGATTCAAAACAAAGACGATTTTTTCGTATTGTACGTGAACTTTGGTCAAACTTAAATAATTTAAGAAACTTATTGTTTGAACATCCGTCATATTTTACGGAAGACCATCCACTTGTATGCCTATTTCACGACAATGTAAATTCAATCTGGAGACGAGCTGTAATGGAATAACATAGTACACATGTTAGTTGAAAGCTTACATCACATGTATAGATGAAGCAACAACAAAAAAAAAAAAAAATCTGGCCAAGAGTTACTTTCTCGTCAATGTATTCATATCTCGCATGTTTTGCTGCAGTGCTGCATTAACTCCTAGATAGCAACATTGGCAAATTGTAGGATTTGTATTTAAAAGTGCCGACCAACTGACTATGGTAGCAGGAACTAACCAACAGGGCACATTACATCTTAACTCGTCAGGTTGTCAGTTTTGACTGTCTTTTGATAGGTTTAGTTTCACTATGACCTTGAATGTTTGAGGTCAGCAGCAAAAATGGTAATTAAATTTTATTTAATGAACTTAATCAAGGCTGAAAGGTATAAAAAAAAAAATGAAAATATTACTGAATTCTTACGATTTTTTATTTCCTCTCATGCACAACATGTTATACAGGCTAAATGACAACAGAATTTATGACAATATATCTCAAAAGTATGGATGATGTATGTCACTTTCATCAACACATACCGTAATGTTTTACAAAAGACTTCACACATACAACTACACAACTTTGTGTAGATAGGGTTGGATAAGGTTCATCCTGATTGGTGGATTGTTAATGGGCTGAACACACCAATTAATACCCCTTACCTTAAAAAATCTTCAAATGTATAAATGAAAAGCAGAAAGATGGTAAGTACAAAAGTCAGCAGTATCCCACCATACTGCATATAAATAGACACTTAATTATTTTCGTATGTATTACACTATAATAATTACTATTGTAGAAGCAGAATATGAATTGAATTGTAAATCACCAACCAGGTTACATCTTGTACTGTCCTCTATCTCAATACAACAGTACTTGGTGGTACCCAGTACTAAAAACATCTGGATGGCTCAAAAGGTGGATTACAATTGTTGTCAGGGTGAACCCTATGCCAAATCTATAATCTAACAATCAAACAGAATTACGATTGTACATGATACATCACACTTTGGCTCTTGGATCAGGTCATGAACTGAAAAAAATGTAAAATGGCCTAAGACATCAGTGTTAAGCAGATAAATAGATCTAGTACTCGTACCCAAAAACACTAGCTTACACTTACAGAGAAGTTCAACTCCGAGGCAACATATTAAACTTATAAATTAAAGCTAAGAAATTTCATGAAGGGTTAATAATATTTATCTTTCCACCAAACACAAAGAATACAGATTAATCAAACTTAATAGTACAAACAATCATTACAATTAATTCATTTTCACATACAGCGAGTAAACCAAGATACCTACACAAGGAAAAATCAGAACCCACATTTCAGACACCAAAATGATCATTATGTGGCACCAACACAAAATGTCTTCTCTCGAATGTTTTGTTATTATGTTTTGTAACTTTTATGAACTGCTTAACCTGTGAATACTTTTCATTACATATTCAAGAAAAAAAATGGATGGAAAGAAAGCAACAAGCATGTTTTAACAATGCTTGTTCAAAATTTCTTTTATCATAAAATATATACTTCCTTCATTTAATAAATTCATTGCAGTAGATTTTTTTTATAAATTAAAAAAGTAATTAAATCAAAACACAGAAAGGCAAATGAGTGTCTCCAGAGAAACATACTTATTGTACATCAGAAGAAATTAGTGTACACAAATTTGCATTAAATGTACAAGAGAAAATATACAACAAACTAAACATATTTTCACAGAGAGGCTTTGCAAATAAATGAAGTGTTTCAGCATGTAACACCTGCCCTACATTTATCTTACAAATGTAAGGTGCCCTTAAAAATACAGTACTCCGGTACAGGAATCTTGTATACCAGTAATCTGACAGTCAATTGGCGATAGACAAGGTATACAAAATGTACTGGTATTGGAGGTTCCCAGACACTTGTTATCAGTATACACACCTACCTAAATCAGAGTATTCTCAGGCAGGAATGATACAAAACACTCAAGGCTAGAACTGAATAACTGTTAGTTTGTGTATTTATATACCGCATACCGAGCAATATTTCTGTGAATGATTGCAACAATATATATATATCTACGGTGTGGCTCGTACCGGGTAAATGTATACAAATATCTTAAATAGAAAAAACGCACATTCCAGAAAATTGAAATGACTTAAAAAAAGATGGAAGATGAATGTAGCTTTTTGTAAGCAACTTGGCATTCTGAATTAAACATACAAGTATCATCATGTAGAGCTCATTATTACATGAATCAAAATTACTGTACTGCATGTTTTCCACTTCATGAAAGTTGCTCATTTATCTGGATAAAAAAATGTCACATAAACACCAGTCTAAAATATAACTTAATCATATGATTATTCATTTACATTCCACACTTTATAGTAGCGTTTATCTTTAGTCATATTTCAGCATCTACATCTCATGAATAGTATACACAAATTACTACTTCGACTTGTGTTAGAAATGACGTGGAAATAACATAAATTTCGAAAATATTGTATTTATCTATTAATGCTTATAAAAGGGAAGTTGGACAGACTGATCCATTATATAATCTCAGATTTATAGGTAAAAGTTTTAGCATTCAAGAAACTAAAATCTACTTTACCTTCAATCAATCAAGTTTCCCCCCCAGATTAAGATGATACATTTTGAAAGGATAAATTCAAGTCAACCTACTTTAATACACAATAGTGTAACTTTAGTGAATATGACATTGAACGCAAACACAAAATTTAATTATTTTTAGAAGTCCAACCCCGAGACTAGAAATGCAATATAAACAAATTCAGGCCTGAAAATCAATGTTCTATTAACTGGCTTGCGTGACACTAATTAAACAGTCTATACTATGGTATCAATTAGACAGCTTTTATCACCACTTCTTCTTGTGCTCATCCATACTGACACCTCCTGGACCGTATGCCACCACCAACAGCAAACCCCCAATGACAGAGAGTGTCTGGAAGAAATCATATTTCAGGAAGTCTCTCATTGGTTTGTAGGATGGGACATTCCACCAAGCATTAAAATACATGTTCAGCATTGTCAACCAAACAACCAAAACAAGGGCAGACAACTTCGTTTTGTAGCCAATAGCGAGAAGAAGAATTAATGCTGTACCAACCAAGTTCTGTATCACTTGAAAGAAGTCGAATTCTAAACGTAACAGGGTTAAGAACATAAGCACAAGAAGAATGCGGCCACTGAACTGCATGTACTGTTTCGGGTTATTTTCTCCAAGTGATGGAAGGCCTGCAAATAGACTTTTGCCTTCTGCACGATCTTCTGCTAATAAAAGTAGTACTCCTCCTGCCAAGGCTAAATTTCTGAAAAATACAAAACAGGCCAGTCCAGTGAGTGAGTCAACAATCCATCCTTTATGCTGAGTCACATAGTTCTTCACATGAAATGAACATACATGCGATTATCACATATGAAACATCTGTTATTAAGTTTATCAATAGGTGATCTATATATATTCTAGATATGAATTCAAATTTGTAATTTTCTTGTAAAAATCTGCAACTGAACATTCCAACAGGTGTTCAAACTGCTAAAATATTTTTGTGTATTACTGGAGAGTAATCATTTTTTTATCAATGGTATTCATTAATTCTTTTCAGTATAGATAATAAAGACAAGAGATTAATTTCAAATCCTATATTATTGTTAAGTTTTCAATTACAATCTATATTCAACATTAATGAAAATCTACCTGTAAATACTTACCTAAAAAGAAATTTGAGATCCCACAGGATGCTATAGGCTACAGTCTGAAACAAAATGTATATATTGGATTACCAAAATCATTTAACCAACTAAAGTTCTGAATTGAAGGTGGAGAAAGTATTTTGGTCCAAACACCATGGCCCAATGGCCTGGTACCAGTACTCAGTAGATTTGGTCTGAGGGCAAGTGAAAATTGAAGTGGACCTGTCACAGGGATCAGAGCAATATTTCCATTGAATATAAAATAAACAATAGACAGGCAAAATAGCTTTGTTTCTTTGATAAGACCCTAATATCATTAACGCTAATTTCAAAACATGTACCTACACATAAAAGATGATTCTGATCAAATGTATTTCACCGCTGTGCAAGGTTTTTTTTCCAAATCCATTTGCCAAATGAACAAATGGATTCGAAAGTTTGCTCTTGCCATGATTCAAGTAATTCATATTTTACAAAATCTTTGTCTTAATAATAACACCTAAACAAATGTTTCAGCGAGCCTGTATTGCTCACCTGGATATTTAAGCAATCATCGAACATTGTTAGTACCAGAAAAAAGACAACACCCTTTCTTTATAAAACGATTTGATTTCCAGGTATCAAGAATGCTTCCTTGCAAATCTGGTTTAAATTCAATCAACAGGTAAAGAGGGGTTGACAATTTAAGATTTAAACACTCAATTTCTCTTCTGTTTTTGTGCATTGCCCCTCAGGGTAGCTACATTCTTCTCTTACACCCTTTGATCAATCATGTTAGCATTAATGTTTTCATCTCTTCATGCTCAGCATAAATAATTGCTTACATTCTTACAGGGTGGGAATGTCACCTGTCTTAATGTACTTACTCTGGGACTAGTCCCCATGGTTGGATAGGGGATGGACCCCGACAGAAATATCTGGTACATGTAGCATGAACGAATTGGTCTTCATTGCACAAAAATTGCATATGTGTTTTTAAGATGCACCAAAGGATGAAAGGGGAGGGGAGGGGAGGGGCGGGGCTGGACCCAACACCAATCCTAGCAGTAGCAGTATGTTCTTGCTTATTTCTTCATCAACATATTGAAAATATACAGTTTGAGAGGGGGGCAGACCTCTGCCTCAGGGGAGCCACACCCTTTGTATATAAACTAATGGATCCTTTTGGTCAAAGGATGCTCCAACTATCAATTATTGTTTAAATCCCTTTTCTCCATTTGGAATGAGAAATATTTAAATAATTTATCTCCATTTCGAATTCCCTTCTTGGGATGGACCAGCAAAATTAACAAAATTAAACTGGTTAAGAACTGCTGAGAATTTTTTTAAAAGTTTAACAGGTCATTAAAAGTCATCAATCATCAAATGTTAGTGCATGCATTTTCATTACCTGTAAAGCTATAATTGAGAAGAGTATGCCACAGGCAATGGGAACCTTCTGTCGACTAAGTACCATGACACAGCCTCCTAACTGGCCTATTAAATTAATTAATACAAATAGTGTGGCAAGATACCACCCACAGCCCCATGTTGAATTCATGTAGTCACGTTGTTCACTCCACTGGGACCACATTCGAATTCCATCCTCCAAAAAGGTTCCTATCAGACAAAATCGAGCCACATGAGGAAGAAAATGTTTACTCTTCCTCAGTATCTGAAAATGAGAAAAACACTCATGAAAATTGTTATTGCTAGTTTTGATTCAATACTTTGCAAAACATCAACATAGGGTACGTGGATACATTATATATAAGGTGTAACAATTGAAAAGGTTCATGCAAATGTATTATATGTTTATTTTTATTTTTCCTATTTGTTACATTCTTATTAAATTCTTCATACTTCTCCTTAATCTTCCAAGGGAAGTGAAGTCTAGTCTGCTCTACAGAGGTCACCTGTACAGTTAGCATCTACTCTGATCAGACACTGATGAAATCATTGGAATACTGGCTGCACTAAACACATCACTATTTATAGACTATATAAAATCATATACCCCCCCCCCCCCCCCCCATTCATGGCTTTGCTGTCTTATAGATATCTGCATTTGTTCCTCAGTAGAGTCAAACACTCTTTTATCCTAGATATGGGTCCTATGTACTCAAAACATATATACAGGCTCTGCTGCATGTTATGTTCTCGTTAGAAAAAGGTGAGTGTTGATAAAAGGGACCAGTGCAATCTGTCAATTGTAATCCATATAAATGACCCTTTCAAGATTCATACCTTTTTAAAAATTGGTTTTGTTACAATTAGTCATACTTGCAAAAGTTCAGAAAACACAAGTATTGATGGGGAGTGCTCACAAACAAATATGCGTCCAAACATGTTCCATTTTTTATGGAAGGCTTTATTTGTTTGTTGCGAGCAAATCAGAGGTGTGAATTAGTCATAGTTGATAAAGTTAATAGGGGATGATATATTGATTATTTGTTAGTTTTTATGCAATGGTGGTAATTAATTACATGTACCTGTGTAAAAGTTTAAGTTCAGAACTTCTATGATACTGGAAAATTAAAATAATACTTTAAATTTCTGTCTTTGTAAGAGTTCACAGAAGGTCAAAAGCATTCAATGTGAAGTTATATATTTCTGAAACTCATTTTAAATAACAAATATATTACTTTGGCAATAAAAGGTAGGATGTTTTGTTGCACACTGAAAAATTTAACTAGTTCCAAAATAAAATTTACTGGGACTAGAAGAGTTGTACATCTCTAATGTATGTTCTACTTTTAAGTTGTAAACTAATTGTGACATATGGTGGGAACCACACATGCTACACATGGTGACATGCATACAAAAACATAACAATATATGACCGGTATATACTGAAATATAGTTTACAAATCATGTATTTTGTTTGCGAGTCAATCATTAGTTATATTAGCCTGAGTTTCTGGCCTCAACAATAGATTTGTCTTTCTCCAGCCATCTATCTGTCAAAAGTCTGGTGTTGTATCCTATATATATGAAACTCTGGCTATAGTAGTGGGAACGGCCATATGACACATGAGCCTATATGAGGATCTCGACGTGTACAAATCTCCATATACCGGCATTTCTTATTATCTCTGCATCGAAAACAAACATCGCTTTCGATCGGTTATAAATGTTCAGAGAAATGAAGGAAAGATAAATTATGTTGCTATATATATCTTCATTTGAAACATTGATGAAGATGCTGCAGCTGCAATGATTTTTTTTCATTAAAGACTGAAGTGCTATACTTTCTGTTTGATAAGAGACAGTTTCACTTTCGAGATTCATGCTGTACTCCTCCCTAACACTTGTCTCTATTGTTTACCTGATCTACAACATCTTCTGCTTTATCCATCAATTCACTTTGTTGAGGCATTTTGGCTTCGGCGAGGCTAAAGTGATTGCCTGCAAATTGAAGCCACGTACCCTTGTGTGGACCAGAACCGGAAATATGAAGCTGTGAATACAATTGATGTTACTCCCTCGCTTTATAACATCCTTTTGTTTATTCTAAACGACAACAAAAGGATTGTGTAATCTGATATACAAATTGATGTGTTCAAATTCCAGTTCAGGTATCAATTGATTACAATGCATTGATTTGCTCTAATTTAATATTTACATATCATTTTTTATTATCTTAGTGAGGAGTTAAGATGTTAATTGGAACAGCCTGCCACGTTCATAACAAGTGCCCTCTGTTGGATATTGTAGAAATAAACATCCGGTATGGTCGATAATCATTGTTATAAAAATGGCCGCCGCCTGTGATCTCAATGCGGCAAAAAAGAATTTACAAGAATCTTTAGGCGAGAATATGAAAATGTTAGTATAAGTCGACCTCAAAGCACGATATTCATTTCTTCTTATAAAAAATGCTATGTAAAATTGCATGTCGGGGTTTTCAGTTCGAAATTAATTATAAATGTAATTTGTTTAGAGATTGGCAATCACTGAATCAGGTTGTTGTTAATTTGTTATGGCTTCATCTGTTCATAACTGTAAAGCTTACAGAACTGAACGGGTTGGAATTTCCTCTCACTTTGATGACGCACTGGCACTACAACGCATCATCTCAAGTCAGAGAAAAATACCCTCAACTCGGACCAATTTGTGTTTACCTGTTTACTGATGCACAGATTACAAATGTCGTCGCGGACCAGACTCAAATTTCAGCAAGTTGTACTATTTTATGTAAATTAAAGTTGTTACAAATGCACAGTATGTTAGTTAGCATAAGCTAAGTCTATATCATGTTACATGTATGTCAGTTTGTTAATTCATTGTATGGGATATTATAGGATTAAAAGGTATGAGTTGAATTGTTCTTTAGAATGAACAGTAATCAAGAATGTATTTTCTGTTATTTATTCACAGATATCTACAAAACCTCAAGTCATGGTTTAAGCAAAAAGTAAGTTTTTATCTTCCTTTTTATTTATTTTTATTTTACCTATATGCTATTATTACATTAACGTTGATGGTTTTAAAGGTATGCAGTTTAATAGAAAATATTCCTTAATATGCAATATCATAAACTTCACATCAGTATAAGCATAAAACACTTTTTTTCCACCAGATTTCTAAAGAAGACTTTGATTTGGAAGCCCGCAGTCTTTTGTCAGATGATGCAGGTAAATCTGACTTCTTTGCTAATTCCATAATTTAAAGGTACATTAAATTCAATTCATTCATTAACTTAGGCCTTGCGACCCATCAGTTCATAAATATGTGAATACATTACATAGTAAACGACGGCACGACAAACAGTGGAAAGTGTAGTACATACATGTGTATCTTATTAAATTCTTAATTTATTTGCTTCCTAAATATATTTACAAAGTTGACACAGTTCCTTGGTGTTGTTAACACACAATAATTGTATAAATTTAAACATAGATGTTTTTCCAGTAATGCTACAGTGCCTTATAACTGTGACTTGCAAGTTCTTTTCAATTATTGGATCATGCTAAATGATAACTTTAAAGGAGATACATTTTCTAGCAAAAGTAAAGGGGTTGTGGTTGAACAATTCCATCATCCTACAGCTATAACACTAAATATTGTACACTTCTGGAGTAAGAGATGTAATGTAGCAAATAACCTGTTTTTATTCATAATTCCATTGTCTAGATTAGTTTGAAACATCTTGTTTCCTTTACAATTTTTGTGTGTTTTCATGTTCATCTTTTTACAGTAATTTTTTATAATTTTGTATTTGCAGTCCATCTTCATAATGAATTTCTTTTGGCAATCATAGCTCGCTGCCAAACTCTGAGTTCATCATTAGGTATGTATGGTAACATTTTGCGTCTTAACATATATACCTGGGAGATTATTTTAGAATTTTTGTTGTAAGATTTCTAATTTCCATCAAAAGTCCAGGAATGTAATAAATCTGTGTGCAGAATCCATGTTTCCATTGATTTTAATTGAATCTTCGTAATATGTACATCTACAATAACCTTTTACATGTATTAATAAAAAGAAAGAAAGAATCCCTAAAAATTTGATCAAAAAATTTTGAATAGATTTTTGGACAGGCTTAGCAGCTGTTTTACTATTTTCTTTCAGAATAAAAAGCAACCCCATATCTTATAAGGAACTGTGAGTCATATAATATGAAAAGATTTGATCATAAAAATGATTGATATGACAAAATTGAAGATGCATTAAGTTGTTGATGGACAGTTTGACAATACAAAAACAGACGAATCTGTTAACCCTACATAAGAGCATACATAGATTCTAACTTTGTTTTCAGTTCCAAAAGAAAGCAGTTTACTGGGTAAAGGTAGTAGTGATCCATCAAAACAGTCGAAACCTCTCAGGCCAAAGTTTCGGAAACGTCCCCCTAGTTCTCGGAACACATTCCAAGTGAGTTTATTTTCAATATTTAATTCATTTGTTTTATGTATCAATTCAAAAATCTAATTTGAATAAATGATCTATGGTTAAAAAAACCACATTGCTAAATACTGTTTGTGCCATTTGTTTTACTGTAGTTTTTTTTTTCACCTACAGGCTACTGCCTCATTGTTTTATAAGTGATTTTTTTTTATATCTTTGAAAAGAATCAGTGTTTATTTCTCTTTTATTGTGCTTTTCTTTATATCAACAGCAAAGATTTGTACCTGCTAATCCAGTCGTTCATCTTCCGGAGGTCAACTTCAAAGGGGCAGATGACATTGGTAAGGTAGAAAGACAGAGACAATCACATTTACATTTGAAAACATGAATTACTACAATTAAGGAATAAGTTTCATGAGTTAATTGCTGCAAATCAAGTGATGTGTTAGATGAGTGTTGGTAACTTCCTGTATTGCAGTGTTTGCTGCGCGAGAGTTATCCCTCCCTGATATCACTATGGTACATGGTCGTATGCTGGTGTGTGCATGGGAGTCGGGTCTTGATGATGTCTCAGACATGGCAGTGAGACTGGTGATGCAGTCCATTGAGGTACGTTAGACTGACAGGAAACATTTAGAAAATGAATGTGAACAAATATTTCAGAGTCGTTTTCTTAAAACTGCTTTTCAAATGTTTTAATGAAATACAAATTCAGGCAAAATGGAAATGAAAATAAGTATATTTCTTTGTGTGATGGTAATATATTTTTTTTTTCTTTCTTTAGACTGACTCTAGAAATTGTGTGAATCGTACACAAATTCTCCAGTCGTTGAAATATTTATTTCCTGATCAAAATAGCCATAGATTCAACATTTCCATTTCCAGAACCAGTTAAAGAATTTGATATCAGTAGTGCTGTCTCAAAGAAGTGGATACAAGCTAAGAGAGAAAAAATTCAAATTTGCTGTTGGCACGCAAGTAAAAAATCCTTACTTGAGACATGCACCTTTAATTGAAGATGAAAACACAGAGAGGTAAGTTTCATAAAAAAAATGCGTGTACATATAAATAAATATTCATCCTATCTCATGTTTTACAAATCTTAGGAAATTATGTTACTTCAAATGTTATTGAGGCCTTCAATTTGGGTCAATATCTAAATTGATTTTTTTTATGTCTAAGCTATGACAAAGTTAATCAAACCTACTTGTTTAAAATATGACTGGTCTCCGCCAAATTTCTGATGACATTTTCTGTTTGGGAAAGATTGTATGTAAGTTACAGAATTTTAAGGAATTCTGTATCCTATTTATAAGATTGAATGAGAAAAAAAACCTGTTGAACTCTTTGCAGTGAAGCGACAATGATATCACAGACAGGAAACCACATCCCCAGTCGGAAGTCACCACTAGAAATCGGAGAGGGAGCAGCTGCAGAACAGCTGGCTGCAGCCAATCAACCAATGTACAAAGGGCCTGTATCTCTGTTTGATCTGGTCCACTGTTTACAGGTATTGATCTTGCTATGTATCTGATACGCTTTATACGGTTTTCGTCTCACCACCACAAAGAAGTGGAGGCAAGACTGAGGTGTTGCGTTTCCGGCAACGGCGGCGTCAACATTAAGTTTTTGTGTTTAAGTAAGTTTCACTGAAAGTATAATTGCTAGACCAACCAAACTTGGACCATAGATGCATCTTAGGTAGTACATCTCAACCTATGCATCAAATGCTGGATGCAGCCTCCCTTTCATGGTCCATTGACTTTGTCAGTATCTCCATCAACATTAACTTTTTGCGTTTAATTTAGTTTCTTTGAAACTATAAGTGCTAGACCAACCAAACTTGACATGTGCATTGATGGTCAAAACAGGGCACAGGCGAGACGTATCAATCAAAATAGCTTGTTATCATTTTTAACCAAACCTTGTGAAAGTTGTTCAGACAGGAAGTCTTACACAGAGTTAGACATAAGTGATTGAACGAGCTTTTTGTAGGTCATTTGATTTATGTGTAGGTAATTACATTGATTTATCAACTAAGTAATGATAATAAGATTTATGGATACTGTTGTTAATACCTGTCAGTTGAACTGTATTTTAGATGCTGTAGAAGTTATGAATCATTTACTGCCGTGCCGTGTATCCCACTGAGTTCCCCCCCCCCCCACCGCAATTCTGACATATGATGTTACTTAAATGGTTTCACTACTTGTAGATAAAGACATACATTCAAATGAACTTGTATTAAATACATGTAATTGTAAATAATATTTTAACAATATTGCAACAAATCTGAAAAAGATGGAAAATCTCAAAAACTACAATTTCTGTATTCAAACAAAGTTAGATTTGTGTTATATCTGTAATTTACACATCTTATAAAAACTGGATTAGTGTAGAAGATATAGAAATATGGTTGTATGACACAGACCTATGGATATTAATGTCAGAGAAGAAAGTAAATATTTTCACATTTTCTGACTTAACTCCCTTTATCAATTTACATTCTGATATCTGATATGCACTTTCAATATTCAGAATGAATAATTAAATCTAATATTGAAACAACACATTTCGGAACAATATCTAGCCCATCTCATTTCTTTTAATACAAGTAATACCTTTTTCTATTTTTCCTTTTCAGCTTTACAAGAGTGCTATTCCCTCTCACACTGTTTACTCTGTGGCTGTTGAACGAGTCATCCATCGTCTGTGGCACCCGTGCCATGAGGAGATCAACCAAGATATCATTCACGCACAGGAAATGGCATTAAAGCAACAGATGGCCACTCCAACACTGTCTGGTATCCAGGCAACTGGTGGCCATTACACATCAAAATATCATAGTCACCATGGAAAACACCATCACCACCACCATCATCACCATCACCACCACCATCAACATAGATCTGAACACCAATCAGGACACCACAAGGTGTCAGAGTCTACTGGACATCACCAGGCTGAACAAGTGAAATCAGAAAATGTCAAATCCGAACACTTGAAATCCGAACTTCACAAGTCAGATCACCAATCTGTAACACAGCATAGTGGAGAGCCGAGGTCCTCAGGAATGTATCAGAAATTGGAGAATCCTTCCACAGTTGAGATCAAATCAGAGCATATGTCCCCAGCATATGTGAAATCTGAGCATTCGGGACAGCTGAGGGTGGACCAACATACTGGAGCAAATCTTAATGCAGAGCCACCAACAATACCAGGACAGCTTCTTGCTCAACAGCTTACCGGTGGATTTACAAATTTAAAATCAGAACAATCTAGCCAACATTCTGTTGGGAGTAGGACAGATTCATCTAGTAGTCTGCACCAGACTGGTTACTCCTTGCAAAATTTAGGAAGCCACCAGGCTGCCAGTCAGCTCATGGTGCCGGACGATTCAATCGACCTTCTGGATGACAGTTTGCTTGACCAGCAGATGACCAGTCTTTTCTCCAGTGGACAGGGGCTGACAAGGCAGACGTCTCTCGATCAAAGTCTGGCTGAATTTTTTTCTGTTAAGTTTCCAGACAATACATAATATATATGTATATAGATATATTTAATCAACAGTTTTGGTCTCATGCATATTAATTTTCTGGTCAATTTTGAAACTTAGAGAGGATTACCATGTATTAGACTTGCGGTTTCTTTTCCAGTAGGTAGTTTTGAGATTTTAAAATACTTACTAGTGCAAATATTCACCAAAAGTGCTGATGTTGTTAGCAGAATATTTTCATTGGTAAAATTTGGTGTTTTTGAGAAAAAATTAACATCCCTTTCTTCACCTAGATTGTATACCTAGATTTTCGTTAGATAGATAAGGCAGTACATGTGTCTCCCAAAATTGTCATAGATTTTGCCTGTTAATTTTGAACAAGTATTTTTTTGTAGAGTTTAGTCATTTTTTAATTCGTTACTAAACATGTAAGAGTTTGCAAAATAGCACACATGTAACGTAGAAACATGTTAATGTGCAATACAAAATATTAAATGATTGCCAATTAGATTTGGGAAGATATACACAGGCAGAAATATAAACAACACTTTGAGAATTTGAAATACAAAGCGATATGAGTATATATATATATATGTGTACATTTTTATACAGACAATTGTTCATTTCTTAGGATGGAATAGAAATATTGTATACAGTGTACTTGGAAAGTTTTGTGGCAGTTTAACTTTTGTCTTTTTCACCCTCCTTACTGAGTCATCACAAATTATCATGACAGCAAGTTTTACCACTATTAGTAATTTCATGCAAAGGGCAAAATTAACACAAGATGAGAAGGGATCTTGCCAGTGTAGGGCAAGTGTTTGACTGGGTGTTGTACAGGAGTGTCCACAGATGCTCTTATATGGTTGAATTTGAATTACTCTCATTATGTGATATCAACGATAAGTGGATGTTTACCAACTATTAACTGTCAGTAGTTACCACAGCCAGTCACATTTACTTGGGTACATTTCAATCTTGTTGTGATAAAGCTAACACATGTTGGATGAGGTACATTCTGTGTCAATAGAATGTTTGTAATGTATACAACAATCCACGATAAAATGGTCGTGTTTAGTTATAGGCATTTTCATCATATACAGCAGGGGTTATGTCGCTAGGATTCATTGCAATATACTTTTTTGAAACCTTTTTTTTTACAAAATTATATTTTGTAAAATGTGACAAATATCAGATTGGAGTATTTATGGTAAATATTTGTAGTTTGACTACAATGTTGTATTGAACTTTGATGTTTCATGGAGGTAAATATAGATATCCAACTTTGCCAGTAAGCAGTCAGATACAATGGATGACATATCAGGTCTACTTCATTGAACTTATTTATCAGCCAAATGAAGATCAATATTAATAAAGGTTAATAATTGATTTTTGCTGCATGACTAACAAGTGCCTAAACTTGGATGCTTGCATAAACAATTTCTCTGTCTAATAATTTCTTTTCATGAAACTTCTGCATCAGACAGATACATGTGTAACTTATGAATCCACCTTTACCATATGTCCAATTGTTGTGAAATCCCATTTTACCTCTCATAACATTCCAGAACAACTTGCATTTGAAATTGAGAAAGTTATTTCTTTATTAAAACCAGTGAGAATACAACAAAAGAAATAGTTAACAACACCAACCAGTCTTTGTCCTTTGAATGACATTATGTGATATAATGAAAATAATCTTGGCTTTTAGTTAATATTTAGTTTCACTCATTGAAATGTAATATCACCCTTGAACATGGCCACAGTGAAAACCATCTTTTCTCAGGTAGATGGCATTTTAGCAGTTATTCTATAAGAAGAGATTAAAAGTGTTGAACGCTTATGATATTTTAATGATATGTGTTTGCTTACGTAGCATCTATAGAATCCAAGGAAATGTGAACAAATATGATCATGTTTTCTGAAAAAATGTTTGTACGATCATGGATGAGATGCACAAGAATATGATTTGTATAATTTATAAATTATATATTTTTGAATGAAAACAACAGTTTTTAAATCTAGTGCTCTCTCATTTAATACTGCACATATATTTCATTTGTCTGATGGAATATCTTAATATTTCCACCCTGGTTTCTTTGTAATGATGTTTGTTTGTTTGTGTTTAATGGCCCATTGACAGCCGTGGTCATTGAGGATTTTTTTTTTTTAAACAAACATGTGATTAGTGAAGATAAAATCAGATAAAAATGAATACTTTAAAAACCATTCGCATTGTATGTGTAAATAATTAAAATAAAAAAGTGGTTATTTTTAAAATAATAAAAGAGATACCGAATAGATGATATGGAATATGTGATATATATATAACGTCAAAGATTGTAAGTTGGGTTAAAAGGCATCATAAAATATTGTTATCCTGTCTCATATGAAATATATATAGTATTCAACGGGCAACCATTGTAAATGCTCCAAGTATATACCTTATGAAAATCAAATAACTGCATATGTTAGTAAAGCAGGGCTTACAATAGATCATTGAGTGTGTTTTTGACTCCCCAAAATGCACTTTGACTATTTGAGTTTTAAAGGACAAGTCTATTTGACATACATTTTGACTTTCTAAATTCAGAAAAAAAATCTATTTAACTACTGACATTATCAAATGTCAATAGTCAGCTGAAAGCCTTGTAAAGTACATTTTGTATATCGGTTCTAAAAGGTTCCATGACGGCCATTATTTTTTGGTTGAAAATATGTATTAGTGCTCTTATTTTGTCCGGGAAAGTTTTGAAAGGATTAAATCATGATTGAAGATATTTACCCAAAACAGATCGAAAGATGATGTATTGAGTGGTTTTGATTGAAATAATCAAGTGATGTAAATATCTGGAAAGGAGGAAAAACATCCCCACACAACATGTTAATAAATACTAGTTTCCTGTCTCTTGTCTTAGGCTATGATAGAGTAACACGTCTATTTAAGTAACGTACAGTATTATTTGCGGGCATGTAATGCTATTGTCTATATGCATGTTCATCAGCAATACAAATGTAGTTAATTATGATGTAGTTTAAGTAGTCTATATCTCATCAGATATAATACAACCTTTTTTGTAACTTAAATTGTGTCAGAAAAAGTGTTTTTAATCAATTTATTTTGAGGACAAACAGGAGAATGTTCTTACTTAGATATCTGGACACCACAGATCATTGAGCTTTTATTACGACGCCGCTATAATACAGTAATCTTACCAGAATTAATATAAAAAATGTTTCTTAAAAATAAAAACAAATCACATGGTTAAGTTGATAAGCTCATGTTAGGAAGAAGTTTGTGGTTTAGTAGACAAAAATAATAAAAAGAACGATCATAACTAAAGTTACACGGTTTCAGAAACTGAATTATTTGGTGTACTCGGACAACTATATCTTGAATTATAGATCTCACTCACTTGGTTCACTCAACAATAGAAGAGATGAAGTGATACCACATATTTCGGCTGACTTAATCTCACATCTTTGTTGTTTTATACTAACACAGATAGATTCATCTGATAACGAATAGCTGGAAGACCTGTTGAAAGAGAAAAACTTAGACACTGTATACATTTCTGATGTCCAGAAGTCAGTCAAATCTTCGATCCAAATACACTACTGAAAATTCACAATATCATGTAATACTGACCTCTGACATACAACTCTTCTGGATGACTGTTTCATTGAGTAATGCTGTTTATGTTATTGTTTGTATTTGTAAATCGTTGTTAAATTTCCGTTTGTTTGTATTACATAATGCAACATAGATCACTGCCTATTTTCCTATTTTATGTACTTTTCTATGCATTTGACATACATTAAAGAAACCTTTAATTATTCTGTTTTTTCTGGCATGTTCAGTAAAACTGAAATATTTGGTAATTGCTAAATCAAAATATCTAAGGAAATATTCACCATTAAAATACTGTGTTGAATTTATAAATTGTTTGGTATGTGGAGATATTCAAATGATAGCTTCTGAAACTTCATATCATGCAATATTCAGTGTATAACTGAAAATGTTCATAACTCCTCCACTGAAAACTAGACATCCTGCCATTGATGAAGTTTCTTTCTATTAGTGCATTTTCTCAATACCTTTATGACACGCGATAGATTCATCTGATCCTTGCAAATGATTACGTGGTATTAACATTTCATCCCTGTGTAACTTAAGTAGACTCTACCATGCATTGATCTGGATGAGTCCATTATGGTCGATAGTGGTGAAAGGGTTAACCCGGAACTTATTAAAGAACAAGAGGCCCAATGGGCCTGCATCGCTCACCTGGTAAACATCTTACACTTGTAACCTTAAAAGTGATCTAAAATAAAGCTCCAGGCAAAATATGATTAAAAGTCATTCAAAAGAACCGGTTAACAGATTTACAAACATTTCACCCCTGTCAAACAAGGTCTTAATGTTGAACACATTTTATAGCCCTTCATCTCAGGATGCAACTTGCAAAATATCACCATTCTATCCTTTTGTTTATTGAAACTAGGTCATTTAAATGTTTATACATATTTGACTAAATGTGACCTTGAAAAGTGGGTCAAAGTCATTCAAATGAAAAATCTTGATAGCCCATTCATCTAAGCATGCTACTGGCTAAATATCAACATACTACGCCTTATGGTCGTTTAAAGACTTTAATATGTTTGATCCCTGTGACTTTGGATATAATTCAAGGTCATTCAATTGAACAAACTTGGTAGCCCTCCATCCTAGCATGCTATTTGCCAACTATCAACATCCTGGGCATTTTGGTTATTCAGAAAAAGTTGTTTAAAGTGTTTTTTAGACAATTGACCCCTGTGACCTTGAATATGAGTGAAGGTCATTCATTTAGACAACCTTGGTAGCCCTTCACCCCAGTATGGTTCTGGACAAATAGCATCACCCTAGGCATTTTCGTTATTCAGAAGTAGTTGTTTGAAGTTTTTAACATGTTTGACCCGTGTGACCTTGAATATGGGTAAAGGCCATTCATTTGAACAAACTTGGAAGCCCTTCATCTTAGCATGCTACTGGCCAAATATCATCCCCCTAGGCATTTTAGTTATTCAGAAGTTGAATAAAGTTATTTTAGAACAATTGACCCATGTGACCTTGAATATAAGTCAAGGTCATGTAATTTAACAAACTTGGTAGTCCTTCATCCCAGCATGTCCCTGGGCAAATATAACCCTGGGCATTCTGGTTATTCAGAAGAAGTTGTTGAAAGACTAACATATTTGACCCCTGTGACCTTGAAAATGGGCAAAGGTCATTTATTTGAACAAACTTGGTAGCCCTTCATCCCAGCATGCTACTGGCCAAATATCATCACCCTGGGCCTCTTGGTTATTCAGATGAAGTTGTTTAAAGTAAAAAGTTGACGCCTGACAGACGGACGACGGACGCCGCACCACGGCATAAGCTCACTTGGCTCTTTGGACCAGCTGAGCTAAAAATGCTTATATCATATAACTGGTATTGTCACTACGGAAAGTTGGGATACACATTCTGTCAGTTGCTTTTTACAGAGTTCGTCTGCACAAGTTATGATATTAACATTATCTTCTGACACGGCATTATTATGACAGAACAATTTAGTGAATTACGTTTTTTTTATCTTGTCACAAAACTCCTCATGATAATATAGTTTAAGAAACAATGTTTTCTTGAAGGTCTGAAATCCATAATTGTACAACCATACTTTTTACCAGCAGCTGTCGGTGATCTTCTAACAAATTATAACATATTATGTCTTTCCGCCATTTATTCTGAATCGATATCATCTTCCAAACAACACCTCAATCATCGTTATAAATGAGTTATTTATTTTACGTTTACACCTACTGATATCGTAATTTGTGCAGTTTGAAAATCACCCTACACTACCTTCTTGCGTGCATACTCAAATTAAATCTGTTCCCCTTTTTCTTTATTAAAGCCCAACTGTGAACAGAAATATCCCATTTGATTTATAATTTGTGATACTTATAATTGTTGCTTGCGATGTTGTTTTTTTGTAAATTGAAAGCGACACGCATGTAATATGTTTGAAATCAGACGACTAAAAGACCTGGATAATGCAGCTACAAAAATTGCATCTATCTCCGGTTTTCCAAAAGATAAAACTGACCACATTGCACGTTGGCTTCAGGTCATGTTATTATCTGGGGGTTTTCCTCAGTATTTAGTCGATTATAGTCAAACCAGGTAACCTCTTTTGGGTGAATAGTGAAACAACAACAGCACCGTTTTGGCTCTATTACCAAGGATATCGGGGATACTTTACCCAGCCCTAGAGCAACACTACCCTCCGAACTTCATCTTTGATGCATTTATCTCCGAGGTGCTATAGGAGCAATGTTGGACTCCCTGACGTCATCTAGTCGTAGTCTGACCTGGATGCCCTTGACATAAAGAAGTCAAGGAGAGGAAGGTATTTATCAGGGTTGGGGTGGGGAGGAATAAGATTGACGAGGATGAGCATAATGAGTTCAGTCCAGAAGGAGAAACGTGATGTAGATATGAAACGGATAACATTCTCTTCGGGCGTTAAAAACATGGAGATGGGACACTTGGGGGGAAAACAGATCAGTAGGGAAAACAACCGTCGGAATGTCTGCTAAAAAACGCAAACCAAAGGTCCATGCAAATACATTCAACGGCGATCCGATATAGATGACAAAGTATCCACATATGTAGAAAAGTATGACTTCAAAATCAAGAAAAAGAAGTAGAACTTTCTACTGACTTGGCGGACGCGGTTTAGTCTTCTACCTACCTGAATTCGGTCTATAACGTTTTCAGTATACAGTTGTACGTTGTTATATTTCATCACCTATACAGTTGTACATTGTTAAATTGATATCCCATCACCTATACAGTTGTACATTGTTATATTCCATCACCTATACAGTTGTACATTGTTATATTCCATCACCAATATAGTTGTACATTGTTATATTCCATCTATACAGTGGTACATTGTTATATTCCATCACCTATACAGTTGTACATTGTTATATTCCATACCAATATAGTTGTACATTGTTATATTCCATCTTCCATCACCTGTACAGTTGTACATTGTTATATTCCATCACCTATACAGTTGTACCTTGTTAAATTGATATTCCATCACCTATACAGTTGTACATTGTTATATTCCATCACGTATACAGTTGTACATTGTTTAATTGATTTCCCATCACCTATACAGTTGTACATTGTTTAATTGTTATTCCATCACCTATACAGTTGTACATTGTTTAATTGATATTCCATCACCTATACAGTTGTACATTGTTTAATTGTTATTCCATCACATATACAGTTGTACATTGTTAAATTGATATTCCATCACCTATACAGTTGTAATTTGTTTAATTGTTATTCCATCACATATACAGTTGTACATTGTTTAATTGATATTCCATCACATATCCAGTTGTACATTGTTTAATTGATATTCCATCACATATCCAGTTGTACACTGTTTTATTGACATTCCATCACCTATATATATACTGTTGTACATTGTTAAAAATGATATTCCATCGTCTATACAGTTGAACGTTTTTTTGTTAGAAATTTGCTCTGTCATACATTCGTGTTTTTTATCGGTTATGTTTGGAGTCTGTTTAGGTAGTATGTAACCTTTTAATGATGACACTGACGTCTCCAGTGAAAAAGGTAGTCCCGATTGTGTTTGTAATTTAATTTAGACAGTAGTTTTCCTGTGGTTTGTTCTTACATGAATTACATCTTTCGAGTTTGTTTTATTCAAATAGAACAATTCTGATTTGTTATGGTCCATTATTATAACAGTCCAACTGCTTTAAACTGGATCCCCGGGGATTCACCTGCTGCCGAAAGGTGCGATCATATGTTAGCCATATTGAACCAACAGGTGGTTATCTTTCATTTCGGTTTCGGACAAACCCTTACACATTTATACATCATATATACATGTACCGTAACTCGCTCTCGTATTATATACACACATATTCCCCCTACTATGTCGGTGTTAATTTAAGTTATTTACATACACTAATATCTGTAGCACTCTGGTACTATACATATTGTACAGTGTCGCAAAACACACTTACAAAAACTGTGATTTAATAAAAATGATATCTTTGATAGAATACGACAATATGCTTTGTCACTAATTAAACTACCGATTAGATCAACATTAGTGTAATGAATACACAACCTATAATGTGAGGTATTACTACTGGTCTAATACTGTGGCGTTTATCGATACGACACCTTTATCTAGGAGGTGATCTCAATTACAAACGTACCGGTCGCCCGAGCCGATATACCTACAGTGTGACGTGCAGTTGGCCATTGTGTTGGGTATATACCGCATTGTCTTTTGATTTGATTACATACGGGTCCGGGGTAACTATTTGTACATCCCGTTGATTTTCTTGTTTTTATTTCGTAATTTCAAATAAGCTTGAAAATAATAATAATATACCAAGCGTATTAATGATATATTAATTGTTTTATTATGAAACTGTAAATATTGGAGTTTTCTGACTACTTGTGTAGATGGTCAGTCTTCCCCTAAGCCTGGCCTCCTATCAACAGTACCCCTGGTTATTTTATACTCCATGTCTACCTATGTCCGTTTTGTATACCCGTCATCATCGCTCAGGTAAGAACACATCTCTACTCTTCGCTTATTGCTATATATTTTCTTTACTTTTCATGATTATTATTTTTTCTATGAATAGAATTAATATTTTATCCAAACAAATAGAAAATAACGTTGCGAGTAGGTACTGTTTGATCTTCATTGCTGAATTTGGCAACCTGCAGGCTATTGCGATTTATATGGGACTATACTAATTATCGTAATTTTGGACTACGAGACAGGGGCACGTTTTTAATACCTTTCAGAACTGTTTACAAGATTAAAAGTGAAACCATTCTTGTTATATCAAGTTTACTGGTAAATCATCGATACAACATCGCATGAGATGAAAAAGAATAATTATAAATGCTTCATACACCTTATCCAACTCCATTTACAAGCTGAGTTTATAACAGTTATATGGTAATGGGATGATAATAATGTAGAATGTTTCCCATGATCTAGGTGTTCGTATATCACCCGGCAGTAATATTTACATTTATTGAACTGATTTTGTTCAGTATTAGAAATGAGAGTTCTTGTTTTTAGTTGCAATATCTAAGTAATCGGCATTTTTTGTTCCAAGGAAAATATTGAAGATAAGAATCGAATAACTTGCATTGATGGTTAAAATTTATGTTAAGTAACTGAATTTGTACCTTTTTATTGTCATTTAGTTATGCATTATATTATGGAGTTACAAAGGCATTATTATAAACTTTAAATGCGTCTATATGCAGTGATTTTCAATATATTATCGTTATTGATAAATCAATGTACATATATAACTTTATCGTTATACGTCATCTTCATTTATGGTCACAATTTGATTTTGAAGTGGAGATGAGCATCATGTATAAGCTAACATGTTGTCATATAAACAACATAAAACTGTTTGTCGATCAGTATCAGTATCCTTATTGTGTTAAATAATGGTTAGACATGGCAGTCTATTCAATACATTGTATTGTAAATGTAAAAAGTAATGAAGTGAAGTTTGTATTAGACATGCATTCTAACTGGATCAAAGTGACGTCACAAAGGAGACGAGTACGTGGATATGAATTGAAATTCTCCTTTTATTGGGTCGCCTGCGAAAAGCTGGTGACACATGGGTATTGCTAAGTCGGCGTCGGCGTCGTCCGCACAGAGGTTTTCGTGCGATAACTTGAGTTTCCTTGGGCCGATCAAACTCAAACTTAATGCAGTGCTTCCTTACTAAACGTGCTTGCTTGGGATTGCTTTTCAGGTCTGAAGGTTAAAGGTCAAGGTCACTGTTACTATAAATAGTAAATCTGTTTTCGTGCGATAACTTGAGTTTCTTTGGGCCGATCAAACTCAATCTTCTTGCAATGCTTCCTTACCAAAAGTGCTTGCTTGGAATTGCTTTTCAGGTCCGAAGGTCAATGGTCAAGGTCACTGCTACTATAAATAGAAAATCTGTTTTCGTGCGATAACTTGAGTTTCCTTGGGCCGATCAAACTCAATCTTCATGCAGTGCTTCCTTACCAAAAGTGCTTTCTTGGGATTGCTTTTCAGGTCCGAAAGTCAAAGGTCCAGGTCACTGTTACTATAAATAAAAAATCTGTTTTCGTACGATAACTTGAATTTCCTTGGGCCGATCAAACTCAAACTTCATGCAGTGCTACGCATACTTGCATTTTCAAGAAAAAAAAGTATGGATACCAATGAGGCGATGCTGGTCTTGCTTGTGGACACCATATTGGAGTGGAATTGAGACAATGAGTATCCATAGCAAGTTTCTTAAAACTCAGAGTATTCTTCCCAGAATGTCAGATTTTATAACAAAATGATACCATCCAAAAACATGATCTATGATTATTGCTCACTTTTAAAATTATTTCTTGAGATGAAAAGTGTATCTATTTCTTCGTAATCTCCCAGTTTCCTGAGCAGGCAACACATCCACTTCCTTGGAATTCTTGTTAAATCATACGACGTCGAAATATAAACAAAAATTTCCTCCAAAGTCGCATTGCGTCATTAAAATATATACAAATGATATTGTCGTGGATGATGGGGATGAGTATACAGTCGAGATGTCTTGACTTTTGTTAATATGTGGTTATATTAACTTGATTGTATTTTCTCGGGTCCACATAACCATATATTCCCGAAACGAAAGTACTTAATTGTTATCTTAGTTGTTAAATTATGTTTTAATAATTAAACAAGATAAAACGTATGAGAATTGTACGGAGGACAGTACTGCATTTGGTAGGGAACATTGTGACAAAATGATTGATTCTTAAATTAGTAACTCCGAGTGAATATTACATAACACCGACCGCCACGTGATTATGATCCAACCAATGAGGATGCTTGTTATCTAATAATTCGATATACGACGTAGCATTTAAGTGGTATTGAACACACACGTTCACTTTAATAGAATTTAATATTTGTACTCCTTACAAGCATATAGATGCAATCGATTAGCGTAGCTGTCATAGGGGGATTTAGATATGAATTGTTATAATATCTGAAAATATATAGATACACTTGTCCTTGCAGGGTCCATGGCAATAAAGAAGATATGAGAGAGTTTGCGGTCATCTAACTGCCAATTCAACATGTCTGTGTCAGGGCGGAGTTTCCCTTTCAGTGCCAGTTTTGGCACAAGCAACAGTTACAATGAACAAGAGTGCACGTTACATCCGGGCAAGCCGATAACTATGGTATGTGTTACGTGTCAAGATGAACTCGTATGCCCAACATGCATCAAGTGCGACCATCGAAAGCACGAGTTCCTGGAGTTAGAGGACGTTGTGCAGGATCGTCAGAATATGATATTCCAGCACCTGGATGTGTCTGAAAGTTCTCTTCTGAAATTGACTGACAACGTTGCCCAGGTCAATAAGCGTTTGCGGAATTACAATGAGCAGGTGGACGCCGTAGTCCGCCAGATAACGAATCGCGGCGAGGTCATTAAAAACAACGTGGACCGGGTTACCGAGGATCACATTCGGGAAGTGGAGCGCATCAGACGCAAAAACGTCGACAAACTAGCCAAGGTCGTGGATCAATTGAAGCGACTTGAGGCGGAGATCCTCAAGTACAGCAAATCCGGCAAGAGTTTGCCATTATCGATGCTAGACACAAGTCCCATAAGACAGGTTCTTGGCAAAAACGGAAACCGACCCTTGGCTAATGCGTCTATTCTGGAACTTCCTAAATTCGTACCGGGTGACTTCAATTTACTCCAGGTCCGTAATCTGTTCGGCGAACTTCGTAGAGAAGCGAAAAGCGTCATGATGGTCACCAACAACAACATGGAACAAGCTTACAGCTTCTTGTCCTCTAAGGACCTGGGCTATCCAAACCCCGGGGCTGCACTGGAATCCCCCGTTCGGGTATCGGAGCACGAAACGGAGGTAACTAACATATGTCCTGTCAACAATACAGACGCCTGGGTTGTCTTATGTGATACCGACGAAGTCAACCTTATGTCAACCATCAGCAAAAAGCCCATACAGGTCGTGTCAACCAGTGGCGTCGAGGTTATCGACGTCACCACTTCTCCGGACAGAAGACGGACCCTTATATGCTGCGCTGATAGAAGCATTAGGGAGATTAAGGGCATGTACGGACGAACCAAGGTAATTTTTTACACAGAAGCCGTACCATCTAGTCTGGTTGTCACTCGGGAAAACTTCATCATTGTAGCGTTCAAAACAGGGGGACTCATCATCAAGTTCGATTCCAGAGGAAACGTGCTTCACAAAGTTCGCGGGTCTTTGGTGGGACGAATCGACTTCGATAACACGCCAAAACCAATGCGGCTAAGGCAGAATCCCCGAAATGGGGACTTGGTTTTGTTCAACAGGGGTTCAGGGTACGTCACAGTAATGGACAGTGACATGCGCATACGATTCCACTCGGCCTGTGGTAAGAATCAAGTAACTGGACAGTTCGTGAAAAAGGGAGGAATATCGCATTTCATGGTAGTTGATGCGTGCTTTGATTCCTTGGGCAATATCTACGTCGTTGACACTCTTCGGTCTGCTATCTTGGTTCTCGACAAAAAGGGGTCGATCCTGAGGACCGTGATGAACAGACAGGAATATGTTCCGCGCCCCACGGCTATAGGAGTACAGCCGGACGACCGTGTATGGCTGGGTTACGAGGACGGTACAGTGCAAACCCGGGAAACTACCACGCTGTGATGACGAAATCCTTTCACTCTTACATCAAATTGTAAGCAATGATAAGGCAGCAGACTATGTTGGACAGAAATCGAAGTTTTTATGATTTTGTTTTGATAGAACCCGTGAAAGAGGAGAGAGGAACGTTTGTGTACATGTACTTTTCCTTCCAAAATCCTGCCATTTGTTAATGTTTCTAGTACGTTACTGAAAAATGTTCCGTTTGTTAGAATATCGTATTGTTCACTAGCAATTAATGGACATCTAGCCCCAGTTGCTCAAAGATTGGTTTTAGTTAACTAGTGGTTAGGGAAAATTTAAAATCTTATATCTGTTCAATACTGCAGATTTGTTGAGGCAGATCAGCTGGATGTGTTTCGATGATATGTTTTGCCTTGAATGCTTTTGCTTTTTGTTGACAACAATTTTAATTTTTCATTATTTGGTTAAAGTTAACGAACCTATGAGCATCTGGGGTCTGAATGACAGACTGTAAACATGTACGTTACTACATGTTAGCGTGTCGGTATTACTACATGTTAGCGTGTCGGTATTACTACATGTTAGCGTGTCGGTATTACTACATGTTAGCGTGTCGGTATTACTACATGTTAGCGTGTCGGTATTACTACATGTTAGCGTGTCGGTATTACTACATGTTAGCGTGTCGGTATTACTACATGTTAGCGTGTCGGTATTACTACATGTTAGCGTGTCGGTATTACTACATGTTAGCGTGTCGGTATTACTACATGTTAGCGTGTCGGTATTACTACATGTTAGCGTGTCGGTATTACTACATGTTAGCGTGTCGGTATTACTACATGTTAGCGTGTCGGTATTACTACATGTTAGCGTGTCGGTATTACTACATGTTAGCGTGTCGGTATTACTACATGTTAGCGTGTCGGTATTACTACATGTTAGCGTGTCGGTATTACTACATGTTAGCGTGTCGGTATTACTACATGTTAGCGTGTCGGTATTACAAGGCTCGTGTTGTTATGTTGTTAAAACGGTCTCCAAAGGACAATTGTTTGATTTTTAATTTCTTTTTGTAAATGAGTACTTTATATACCTTTTGATGGTAGATTATCGTGTTGGTGCTGTTATTTCTTTTGAACAACGCTGAATAAAATGGTATAATGACAAATCTAAGATAGAAGTGTTTTCGTTTTGAGGGTCAATATGTCTAAATTGACCATGATTTTTTTCGGAATTTGACCAAAGTGTGATATTTGTTACCAAGGACTTGATGAATGATGATATTAAACATAGATAAATCATATTTATAGATAATTATTTATTTGCCAGGTCAAGCGAATTCCGTGATGTATTGAATTTATTAATTTAATTTTAATTCTACTAATCTATGAAATTAAATAAACCATTAAAAGAACAACAGCATACTTAATTTCGTAATTCTGTCGTGATCCCATTGTTTTTTCTATGAATTCTACTTAATTTTTCTGTAATTTAAGCGAAAAGAATGAACATTAGTATATTTTAAACGAGCCATACATGTAATCGTTCATGCAAAATGATTTAATTTCCATACATTGAAAATTTGAACCACACAAAGACTTTAGATAATGCTATTATTATATTCAGGTACTACTGCAGATTTACAACTGTTAAATGTGTAACTACTAAAATAAATAAGTATGATGTATATATATTATATATATATATTTATTTATATAGAAAAAATGGACCGACATCTATATGTCCAACAAACATATGGCGCCAAAAGCACGCGTGTTTGTTTTAAAGGCTTTTTTAAAAACGCTGTCCATTCGAACGGCATGAAATGGTTACGAGACATGTCTTTTGAGGGAACTTCATCAAAACGTAACAATTCAAACTAAACATTAAACCATACAGTATGAATTCGATGTCATTATTCACACAATGGTAGCGGCGAATTTATAATGCCTAAATTTGATAGCATACTAGAAAGAAAAAGGAAGCACCAAATCAAGAATAGAAGCAATTGTCTAATATTCATACATTGAATACAAATCGCATTCGATCGAACTTTTCCAACACACTCTGGGGAATGCATATGGCATGCAGTGGTAACCACAAAGCGATAATGCTATCATTTTGACAATGTCAGCTATATTTTTCATATGAGGGCATCAGGCCTTATCTGATGTCTATTTCGAAGCTCTGCTTATCTAACAATTGGAACACATAAGTATAGGTCTCTGTCTCTATACCAACATACGATGTAAGTACTATATTACCTCCCTGTCTCTATACCAACATACGATGTAAGTATTATATTACATCCCTGTCTCTATACCAACATACGATGTAAGTTCTATATTACCTCCCTGTCACTATACCAACATACGATGTAAGTATTATATTACCTCCCTGTCTCTATACCAACATACGATGTAAGTACTATATTATCTCCCTCCAATGTCATGTAATTAGAATATAATGCACATTTTAGAAACTATGATCACTATTCTGATATGATATATGATGATATGAAAGAGACACACTTCAATTGAGTAAATATATCTGATAATGTATGCAGTGTTTATACCATTAGAAATGACTCTATACAGAACACATTGTTTGGTCACACCATTAACTTTTGACAAACAACATATACAGCATATATGTATAAAGGTGGACATTTTCGTGGCGTGGAAGTATTCGCTTTTTGAGAAATTTAGCGCGAAAACTGCCAAGGCGAAAATGTCCACACCACAAAAACATTAGGGAGTCACAACGCGAAAATGTCCACACCACAAAAACATTAGGGAGTAACAACGCGAAAATGTCCACACTACAAAAACATAAGGGAGTCACAACGCGAAAATGTCCACACCACAAAAACATAAGGGAATACAACGCGAAAATGTCCACACCACAAAAACATAAGGGAGTCACAACGCGAAAATTTCCACACCACAAAAACATAAGGGAGTCACAACGCGAAAATGTCAACACCACAAAAACATAAGGGAGTCACAACATGAATATTCCAACACGCAAGCAGTCTACTCATACGTTTTTTGATTAAGATACACTAATATTCTCTTAATTGAAATATCATCGCATTTTTTACTATCTGAATTTTGGGAGGTATTGTATACTTCAGATGCTGTCCCTCCTCGTGGTGTGTGCTTTAGTTGCTTCCGTGTAGGTATTATGAAATGCAATTATGTGACACGGCTTTTGGGTCAGCTTAACAATTTATCATCCATGAGTTTATACTGTGAAAAAAGATCAGCCCGACAAAGCTTTTAAACGCCTTTCAATATTGTTCGATCATATTGTAATTGTGGTACAATATCCCTATCTTAATTCAATCGAGGTCGATATGTGTTACTGTGAAAACAAGGAACAAGAATAGTCGAAAGACAACATGTATGTTAAAATTATGCGACCGACTGCGATGGACATTTCTGTATTGATATATTCATGAAATATGATTTACAAAATGCATTTGCGAAGAAAAACATACATACCATTATATAAATGTCTATTTTATCACCATGTGCAAGCCAATGTATTCATTCAATTTGTTTATTTCAATGATGTAAATTGTAACATTGACAAAAGTTTATGCCATCCTGTAAAGGTTAAAATGAATGAAATATAATACCTTTCACAAGCTCGGAGACTTGCATAATAATTAATAAATGCCTTACACATATTATAGCTACCAGGCCTTCATTTTAAACAATAATTACCTTGTACAGGCTGTCGAACTCGGAGCCCCAGAGAGAAGTGATTCTCTTTGACAAAGCCGATGGTGACAATGATGGACAGCTGTCAAGGGCAGAACTGGACAATATATTTCTCGCTTTTGATGTCAACCGTAAAGTTTTTTTCTTTCTAGATTTGACAAGATATAATGAAGGTGTCCACCTTCGGTAGTGGATATGTTGTGACTTCTTTTATTTATATTTTTTACTATAATGGGTATAAGTGTCATAATCTCAACATGTATAATGTAAAACTCAGTTATGAATAAATAAAGGATATACATATGTGGCGATTTTAGTGTCTGTTTATCCATTTGAAAGCGATTATTGTCTAATAACTGTGTACATATGAGCTACACATAATCGGAATGCCATTTATCTCAAACATGGAAATGGGTATGTCTATCTTTCTTTAGCACTTCATGTTTCTGGCTAAATTCCAAAATTTTTGACATTACCCAAATAACATAATTTGCATAATTTTTAGTTAAGCATATGGTAATTGACTGCATTAAATATGTATCGGTACATGAATACATTTCACGTCATATATTCACGTTTCAGATGACAGGGAGGTTACCAATAGTGAGTTTGAGAACGACTGGACGGTGCTATACAACCTTGGAGCCCCATTAGAGGCGCGCACTCTCTTCATCAAGGCCGACACCAACGATGACGGCCATATCACAGATGCGGACCTACCTCAGATCTTCACATTTTTCGACACTAACAGTGAGTCCTGGCCACATGATATTAAATAGAATCATTGGAATTTCACGAGATGTTTGATGTCGCATAAATTCACTGGGAGTGTTGACACAATTCGAATATCAGGCCAATATATAACGAAACAGAATATCACCGTAATTTATCATTTAACGGATTTAATATCCTGATGAATCAACAGATTGAAGTATTATTACTAAACATCCAAAACTTGAGTGTTATGGCTATGTTTTAAATCCTTATAGTTCCTTATACTCGTTAGATTGTAATTCCATGCATATGTTAATGGTAAATTGCAATAAAGGATGCTTAGACTTATTGAAGGGTTTCCAAGTTTGATATGAGACTTTCCTATTGTAAGATTTGATGAAATGACAGATTATGTTACCCGAACCCTGAATTATTATAGAACAAAACTGTTTTCTATATCAGAGGATGCGTCCATCAGTCTTGACGAGTTCCTGACTCAGTGGGGAGAACTGAAGAATGCCCCCGTGGACAGTATCATCGTTCCTGTAGCGACCACGCCTTCCCCGGAGCCTCCAACCTCAAGTCACACACACTAACATCGCAATTCCTTGTATTTCGCTTTCATTTTCGCAATTTGTAAAGAAATCGTTTGAAATAAAATGTATTTCTTTCGCATTTTGATTTAACTTAAAACTTCATACATTTTACGTTTCCTCCGATACGTCTTTGACGTGTACCACAAGGCTTTTTAACAATATATAACTTATTTTTTATCTGAACCTTTTTTCATAATATTTAACAACATGATATATGTTTACCAGTTTTTACGAGTATGAATGAATATCCAACAAATCTCTATTTCTGTTTTTAAAGAAAAGTGACAACTTCCCAAAAGTATTTTCTTATTATATTTTATTTCACAAATATGAAACATTGATTTTGACTCTGTATATCGATATATTTACAAAGGGTTGCCCAGACATAAAGCATGTTTACACTATCATTTGAAGACCCTGTTAAGAATGCGACATAAGAATCCGACAGGGAATAAAACGTTGGTAAACGTTATGAATTATTCCTGTGTTCGCAATTACTAATAAATGTCGTCCGTATGCTACTTTACATGTATCATTTTAGCAGACAGGTCTCGCACTTTTCCAAATGCTACTTTGATTAGGTTTGCACTTATTTACATAAATAAGTCATATAGAATAATGACGTCACAGATGTACATTTCGCATTTGATTATTACAGATAACTTTAGTTAAATCGAATCATTCCGAATAAACTTGTTCAACTTAACTCCTTGCTTTCTTTTGATTTTTAAATTACTGGCTTTACTTTTAAAATACATATGGAAGTGTTCCATTATGAGAGAGGAATTTGGAAATAGTTTTTCACAATATCAAAATGTTTTATAAACAAATGTTACAGTGGATGTTTTGTCACTTATGACTGATTCGGAAGTAAGTAAGTGCAAAACGGAAGTTCTTGCTCACTTTTATTATAGCTTATTAACATTGCAATAAAACCTACTTTGTCTTCATGCTTTTCCTTTCGTTTGAGATGTTATCCCAGTATTTGTTGGTGTTTTTCTTATCGATGCTGGGATCCGATTTTGTCTATTGTGTGATGATGCTGTGCTATTTTTGCCTATCTACTTTCCATTCGGTAAATATTTTTAACAGCAAAAGTCTTACATGTTAAATATTTAATAAGTACAATTGAAATGAATAAACAAATAAACACACCATGGCGTCAACACACAGAGGCAAATCTATTCAGGACTTAAAAGCCGATGAGGAAAGGAAAACAATCTTTAAACCTGTACAAAAGCCAAGAAATCCCGGGCGAGACCATATCAGTAAAAGTTTCCGTCACCATATGGTGGCACTGGTCATGTGACAACGAAGTTCGCTTAGCTATGTTTTGTTTGATAAGAGAAAGATAATAACATATTGGTGATGCATGCACTACTCACGTGTTAGCTGCACACTCAGTTCAGAATAGTGGTGGGGCTTACGTACAAATTGTATTAAATTAAAAAAACTACTAATTTGAAGGTAAACGAATACCATTTTCAAATCCTGTTCATCTATCAATCTGACACTGGATTCATCCTCCTAATCATCCTCATCAGCATCCTCCTCATCATCCTCATCAGCATCCTCCTCATCATCCTCCTCAGCATCCTCCTTCTCAGCATCCTCCTCAGCACAGCATCCTCCTCATCATCCTCCTCAGCACAGCATCTTCCTCAGCACAGCATCCTCCTCAGCATCCTCCTCCTCCTCATCAGCACAGCATCCTCCTCAGCACAGCATCCTCCTCCTCATCATCCTCCTCAGCACAGCATCCTCCTCATCCTCCTCCTCAACACAGCATCCTCCTCAGCATTATCATATTGCTGTATGACGGTACCTACAGTTGTCAAGACATTTGGGTTTGAAAAAGTACTCCAGTTAATGTGTTCTTCGAATACGCATTTTGATAAAAATGATATAAACTTTCATCCTAGTATTTATCATACTGTAAAAGGGCTGCTATTATCGATCGTGTTATGGTGTTCTCTTTCATGTTACTGTATTTATTGTCGTTTACTGATTTTGTACTTGCATGCTGTTATAGCGGTGGTACCTTGATATACAATTATTATTGTCGTTCTGTTGTTCAAGGTACCACCGCTATAACAGCATGCAAGTACAGAATCAGAAAACGACAATAAATACAGAAGTAACACTCTACAACAATAATAGATTATGTTACATGAAGAAGTAACACTCTACAACAATAATAGATAATGTTACATAAAGAAGTAACACTCTACAACTATAATAGATTATGTAACATGAAGAAGTAACACTCTACAACAATAATAGATTATGTTACATAAAGAAGTAACACTCAACAACAATAATATATTATGTTACATGAAGAAGTAACACTCTACAATAATAATAGATTATGTTACATAAAGAAGTAACACTCAACAACAATAATAGATTATGTTACATGAAGAAGTAACACTCTACAATAATAATAGATTATGTTACATAAAGAAGTAACACTGTACAACAATAATAGATTATGTTACATAAAGAAGTAACACTCAACAACAATAATATATTATGTTACATGAAGAAGTAACACTCTACAATAATAATAGATTATGTTACATAAAGAAGTAACACTGTACAACAATAATAGATTATGTTACATAAAGAAGTAACATTCTACAACAATAATAGATTATGTTACAAAAGAAGTAACACTCAACAACAATAATAGATTATGTTACATGAAGAAGTAACACTCTACAATAATAATAGATTATGTTACATAAAGAAGTAACACTCAACAACAATAATATATTATGTTACATGAAGAAGTAACACTCTACAATAATAATAGATTATGTTACATAAAGAAGTAACACTCTACAACAATAATATCCTGGGTCGGAAATTCTAACCATCATACCTGAATACATGTACATATTCTTATTTTACCTAAAGATCTAACATTCTTCATGACCATGGTACTTGATGGTATATTTATTATTTTACCCATAGATCTAACACTCTGTATGGCCATGGTACCCGGTGGTATATTTATTATTTTACCCATAGATCTCACACTCTGTATGGCCATGGTACCTGGTGGTATATTTATTATTTTACCTATAGATCTAACACTCTGTATGACCATGGCACCTGGTTATATTTTTACAATTTTACCTATAGATCTAACACTTTGTATGACCATGTTACCAGGTTATATATTTATTATTTTACCTATAGATCTAACACTCTATAGACAATATTATTTTGTCTAAAGATCTAGCACCCTATTACTGTTTCCTAGGTTTATCATTATTATTTTACTAAACATTAAGCACTCGATAACCTGCTGTTCAAAGCGTTGCACAAAGTTTTGCAGTTGAAGTGCAGACACACCCTAGACAGGACGTTGACCCGTTATCAGTGGAATGATCAGTCGACACCACTTGTTCGTTTCTCACACGGTCTAGCTAAAGAGCTTCCTGTTGTCTGGTTATTGTAAGTGTGACAGTATATCCAATCAAGGTAAGAATGCATTATAAACTACTAAGGCCTGTTTAAATTCAAGTTATATATTTTACACATATGCTCATGAACAAGGACCTTAATTACTGATGTATATCCGGTTATGCGGAAAAATAACATTTAAGTTCCTTTGAGAGTATTGGTACATTGTTTATAACCCATTCTACTGGTAATTATAAGCGTTTTCATGATTTTAATGTTGCTTGTGCTTATAATATTATGTTAGCTATGATACACTGAGCTTATAAAATGACGGTATTTTCAGATGATTGAGACAAGGTTTTCTCATCTTTTGATAACATGTGCAGTCCTGTGTGGGTAAGTATATAATATTACCACATGTAGATCGGTGTAGACGTATACAATTGTAAAATGTATATTATATATATATACGTACAATAGTATTATGTGAACAGTTTATACACACATACAATGTAATTTGTAATTAATGTATGTATACGTACAATAGTATTATGTGAACAGTGTATACAGATATACAATGTGATTTGTAATTAATTGATGTATACGTACATTAGCATTATGTGAACAGTTTATGCACACATACAATGTAATTTGTAATTAATGTATGTATACGTACAATAGTATTATGTGAACAGTGTATACACACATACAGTGTGATTTGTAATTAATTGATGTATCCGTACAATAGTATTATGTGAACAGTTGATGCACACATACAATGTAATTTGTAATTAGGGCTCTGTCTGTCTGTCTGTCTGTCTGTCTGTCTGTCTGTCTGTCTGTCTGTCTGTCTGTCTGTCTGTCTGTCTGTCTGTCTGTCTGTCTGTCTGTCTGTCTGTCTGTCTGTCTGTCTGTCTGTCTGTCTGTCTGTCTGTCTGTCTGTCTGTCTGTCTGTCTGTCTGTCTGTCTGTCTGTCTGTCTGTCTGTCTGTCTGTCTGTCTGTCTGTCTGTCTGTCTGTCTGTCTGTCTGTCTGTCTGTCTGTCTGTCTGTCTGTCTGTCTGTCTGTCTGTCTGTCTGTCTGTCTGTCTGTCTGTCTGTCTGTCTGTCTGTCTGTCTGTCTGTCTGTCTGTCTGTCTGTCTGTCTGTCTGTCTGTCTGTCTGTCTGTCTGTCTGTCTGTCTGTCTGTCTGTCTGTCTGTCTGTCTGTCTGTCTGTCTGTCTGTCTGTCTGTCTGTCTGTCTGTCTGTCTGTCTGTCTGTCTGTCTGTCTGTCTGTCTGTCTGTCTGTCTGTCTGTCTGTCTGTCTGTCTGTCTGTCTGTCTGTCTGTCTGTCTGTCTGTCTGTCTGTCTGTCTGTCTGTCTGTCTGTCTGTCTGTCTGTCTGTCTGTCTGTCTGTCTGTCTGTCTGTCTGTCTGTCTGTCTGTCTGTCTGTCTGTCTGTCTGTCTGTCTGTCTGTCTGTCTGTCTGTCTGTCTGTCTGTCTGTCTGTCTGTCTGTCTGTCTGTCTGTCTGTCTGTCTGTCTGTCTGTCTGTCTGTCTGTCTGTCTGTCTGTCTGTCTGTCAAATTTTGTTCCTGGCAGGTATTTATTGACCGATGTACATGAAACTTGGCCAAGATGTTCAGTTCACAAAAATACACACTAAGGTAAAAATTCAAGGTCAAATGTCAAGGTCATAAGGTTCAAAGGTCAGGGTCAAATTTTACATCTTTTCACTGATGAACATTTTGTTATGACATTATGAAGCAAAGTTGATCAGAATTCAACAAGGAGTTAACTGACCAAAGGTCAAAGTCATCGGGTCAGGTGTCAAGGTCAAATTTTGTAGCTTTTCACTGGTGAACATTTCGCTATGACATTATGTAGCAAAGTTGTTCGGAATTAAACAAAGAGACACACCGAGGTAAGAAGTAGAGGTCAATATTCAAGGTCATTATATTCAAAGGTCAAGGTCAAATTTTGCATCTTTTTACTGATGAACATTTTGTTATGACATGATGAAGCAAAGTGATCAGTATTAAACAAGGAGTCAACTGACCAAAGGTCAAGGTCATTGGGTCAAAGGTCAAGGTTAAATTTTGTATCTTTTCACTGGTGAACATTTTGCTATGACACTTTGAAGCAATGTTGTTCAGAACTTAACACAGAGTCAACTGACATTCGGTCCAGGTTACGGGGTCCAAAGGGTCAAGGCCAAGTTTTGTATTTTTCACTGATGAACATTTTGTTATGATATTAAGAAGCAAAGTTGGTCAGAATTAAAGAATAAGTCAACTGACCAAAGATCAGGGTCACTGGGTTAATGGTCAAGGTCATTTGGGTCCAAAGGTCAAAGACAAAGTGGATCTCTGACTTTGACCCTGACTCTTGATGGAGGAGGTATATAAGGTGAAATAAAACAAATCAAAGCTAACAAATGAGTATTGCACCGGTATTTACATTTCTGATTGTTTTGGGGTGGTGACTGTATTTGTTTGATAGTTTCTTCTTCAAATATTCCAATTTCGAATAACTATAATTGTGTAAAATGTTACGAGATATATAAAGAATGCTTCTATAGAAAACAAATATCTAGAAATGAGGATAATGGTTATAATATATTTTAACCTGAATGTTGAATGTTTTATCTAAATAAATATGTCTGTATCGTTTAATATACTATGCTATCCATGCCCCATCCTCGATATCCAGGGGTTACGCTCACTTTCGCTCTCTACAGCCCTGAAATATGTCATAGCAAAATCGAAGGCTCGGTGTGCGTCACTTTGTTGATGAGACAAGTATACCAGTTCGATCGTTTGATGTACCTCAAAAGAATCTCGCAATCAATTAACAGTAAAAATTGAAAGGCTTTGAAGTCGGGCATCTCTCCTTTGTAATCTTCAAAGGACAGGTAGGCATATCAGCCTAGCGATTGGTCAGTGTTTTTTTTACCCGACACCAATCAAACAGCTATCTTCGTATTCCAAGGGTGTAGAGAGCGGAAGTGAGCGTTACCCCTGGATACCGAGGATGTCCATGCCCTTATAATCACTATTTACTTTGTCGCTCACTAGTGTACTGTGTCACCCTGGCCGCCCGGCTCTTCCAGACAGTCCAGAGGCGCGCAAACTCTTCCGTTTGGCGGAACAAAATAGAACCAATGATGGCTTTCTTACAAAGGCCGAAGTAGACGATATATTCACCGACTTCGATTTGGATAGTATGTTCTTACATCAATAACCAATTCCATGTATGTGCATCAAAAACAATTTAAAGTGATCTATACGCAAGTATTAAGTACACTAAAACATGGAGAGGGTAATCAAAGTAAGTACAATTAATGGGACACCGAATAACCCCACAACTGTGCAGAGATTGAACCCCTCTCTCATCTACAGAGATTGAACCCCTCTCTCATCCACAGAGATTGAACCCCTCTCTCATCCACAGAGATTGAACCCCTCTCTCATCCACAGAGATTGAACCCCTCTCTCATCCACAGAGATTGAACCCCTCTCTCATCCACAGAGATTGAACCCCTCTCTCATCCACAGAGATTGAACCCCTCTCTCATCCACAGAGATTGAACCCCTCTCTCATCCACAGAGATTGAACCCCTCTCTCATCCACAGAGATTGAACCCCTCTCTCATCCACAGAGATTGAACCCCTCTCTCATCCACAGAGATTGAACCCCTCTCTCATCCACAGAGATTGAACCCCTCTCTCATCCACAGAGATTGAACCCCTCTCTCATCTACAGAGATTGAACCCCTCTCTCATCCACAGAGATTGAACCCCTCTCTCATCCACAGAGATTGAACCCCTCTCTCATCCACAGAGATTGAACCCCTCTCTCATCCACAGAGATTGAACCCCTCTCTCATCCACAGAGATTGAACCCCTCTCTCATCCACAGAGATTGAACCCCTCTCTCATCCACAGAGATTGAACCCCTCTCTCATCCACAGAGATTGAACCCCTCTCTCATCCACAGAGATTGAACCCCTCTCTCATCCACAGAGATTGAACCCCTCTCTCATCCACAGAGATTGAACCCCTCTCTCATCCATAGAGATTGAACCCCTCTCTCATCCACAGATATTGAACCCCTCTCTCATCAACAGAGATTGAACCCCTCTCTCATCCACAGAGATTGAACTCCTCTCTCATCCAGTGATTGAACCCCTCTCTCATCCACAGAGATTGAACCCCTCTCTCATCCACAGATATTGAACCCCCCTCTCATCCACAGAGATTGAACTCCTCTCTCATCCAGTGATATAAGCCCTCTCTCATCCACAGAGATTGATCCCCTCTCTCATCCATAGAGATTAAAACCCTCTCTCATCCACAGATATTGAACCCCTCTCTCATCAACAGAGATTTAACCCCTCTCTCATCCACATATATTGAACCCCTCTCTCAACCATAGAGATTCAACCCCTCTCTCATCCACATATATTGACCCCCTCTCTCATCCATAGAGATTGAACCCCTCTCTCATCCACATATATTGAACCCCTCTCTCATCAACAGAGATTGAACCCCTCTCTCATCCACAGAGATTGAACCCCTCTCTCATCCAAGTAGATTGAACCCCTCTCTCATCCACAGTGATTGAACCCCTCTCTCATCCAGAGATTGAACCCCTCTCTCATCCACAGTGATTGAACCCCCTGTCATCCACATCATATATGGCAAAGACTGATGTGTTGACAAGCCCAACTTAACATTTAATACCAAAAACAGATATTCCATACACTCAAGGAGATATCTCTTAAACAAACTGAGATATCTCTATTGACTTAGATGATATCTTATAAATATATAAACAACTGATAGCATATAATTATAAATATACCAAAAAACCCAAATATATTATGTTTGTTTTGTTATATGCTATCACTATTACATTTAAAGACACAGAATCTTTAATTCATTTTGATATATCTTTTTTAAATTAAAAATCTCTTCTTTTTTCTTGAGAGATCTATATCTCTTTTTCTTTCAGAGATATCTTTATTTCATTTACAGTTATCGTAAACTCATTAACTCCGTCTCATTTAGATATATCTATATATACATCTATTTCAATTTAAGATGTCGCTAACACTTTGACGCCCTTTTCTGGGTATCAAATTTTGAGTTGGTTTGCCACAGGTGTGTGGTCTCAAGTAGTGCATCAGCTATTTCTCTGTATGTTCTACTGAACAATCAAATTGAATCCTCTTTACCCAATGCTTTACTTAAGATATCTGTACTTTTCTTTTCTGTCTATTACAAATCTGTGTCGTATAGTTAATGACCTTAAAACTGACAATTATTCAAGTTACAAAATTTACAAAATGTAAATTCATTTGTATATTCTACTGGTATCCCAGCGTTGTTTTCCCCATTTGTTATAATGATTTATCAGACCTGCGTTTCCGATATCCCCCTGATGTGATTTCCCCCCCATATTCTGATTCTTTTGTCTGAATGCGATTTGTTCTCAGAGTATATTTCTTCCCTCCTCCCCCCCCCCCCCCCCCCCCCCTCAAATTTATAAAAATCCCTCATTATTTTTTTTTATTCTCTCAGAAATGTTAAAAAATAAACTGTACAGTTATTTCGCTTGTCTTATAAATTAACTTTACCACAAGCAGGATATTGGGGTTGGATTTTCAAAAAGGGAAGCAAAATGATCTTTATCTTATGAATTTCAATTTTTGTTTTGTTATCGGCGAACACACTTTCATTGTATTTACAAAATGGAAGTGGACTGTTCTAGAGATTTCCATATCTTGCAGTAAAAAAGGCATTTCTTCTAAAATAAAATTTTCAATTATAAAGCTATAAGTTTATCAGTTTCCAGCATATATTTGGCAACATTGACTACAGAATTACACTTTCGTGCTAAGTCGATTTATTAACGTAGTACTTTTCAAGGATCTCCATGTAAATTGTTCATTTGTTAATACTTTTCTCTAGTTTTACTGATTTTGAGTTCGAATTGTGGTATTGTTCACACTTCGTTATACTCTTTTCTCTTGTTTATGTCAAATTTGTCCTTACGTGTCGTAGTGGACGGGTCTGTTGAAGAGACTGAGTTCTTGAAGGTGTGGGCGGAGAAGCATCTTGGGACACCCGAGAGTGGCAGGACACTGTTCCACCACGCTGACACAGACGGCGACGATACACTTTCGCTCACACCAGACTTGGCCAGGGTGTTCTATTACTTCGACAGAAACCGTAAGTAAAACATACGTACATTGTAAATCAGCGAAGTGTTCCATTACGCTGACCAAATCTCATTTTCACAAGCTAGTTACATAAAAAATTCAAGGTATCTTGATATTGAGAGATGATGTGATCTATTTCAGGTTTTTGTTTCTGTCAATGCGAAAAAATATAATATATAAAAAGAATAACATGTTTAAGTACGATTGTGCTATTTTAAGTACCACGTACAAATTTAGACATGTTGTTCTATTTCTGTTTGACAGAAACTTGAAGCACAACGAGCAAGATCAATTATTACTTTTGAAGAATCTTATTAACATGTAATATTAGTTATTTATTTACGCTTCTCTCGTATTAGACAAGAGTATTATATTTCAGCTTGCTAACAAAGGATATTCAATGCATTTAAGGTGCTCAGTTGCTTTGATTCGATTCAGTGAATGCTTTTAATGTAATATTACTGTTATCAAACAAATCTTGGTAACATGTTTTTCAGATTTATCAATCAAATCAATATATGCTGAACAACCTACTGTACATTTATATTTGGAAGTTGTACATTTCAGAGGACACGAAAGTAAGCCAAGCCGAGTTTGTGACAGTCTGGGTAGAAATGTCCCTTTAATACATCGTCAACCACAGTATGCAGTCAAGTGTAAATCTCTGATTGCCAAAAGCATAATAAAGCATACACTTAAAGTTTTTTTTGTCATTTTTGTTTGTTTTGTTTGTGTTTTATGTCCTATTAATAGCTATGGTCTTTAAGGACGTGACAGGTTTTGTTGGCGGAGGAAAACCGGAGTATCTGGAGAAAAGCCCCCGAGCTGCGGTCAGTACCTTCTGACTTACGTACATTGGCCTCGAACCTGCGAGCCAGTGGTCGAGGGCTAGTGGTGGTAAACGGCCAGTCGCCTTAACCACTGGGACAAAATACGTAGCAGAAAACAGACATATAAAAAAAATCGACTAATGGCTGTCGATGGTCAGACAGAAAAAATATTAAACTTTATACAACAGTTAATATATGTCAATGGTCATATAGCAGAATTATACGATTTAAATAATAGTTAACAGACGCTGATTGTCAGATAAAAGACAAGATTTAAAAAAGTCTACATTTGTCAATAATAAAAGTTGATAAGATTTGAACCCTTTGACCTTGAAACTTAGTCAAGGTCATTAATTATCGCAAATATTGACCTGGAATATGGGTCAAGGTTGTTTCTGTTTGCATGGTTGTGTAGAACTTAATGAAAGCAAGCAACCGGGAGAATATAGTTACTCTAGCCCTTTCTGTTCTACAGAAGTTTTTTTCAAGAAATTTTAATCCTGTAACCTTAATTACAGGTCATAATAAGATTTTCTCACAAAGTTCATAGCATTCAATGGCAGCAAGCTACTAGCTACTGACTATAAAGAGTAAATTTTGAACTTGAAATTAGGTCAAAGTAGGTTGTGGGGCTTTACCTAAGGAAGCTACCAGCAAAATGTTGTGACCGTCTGCCATACCGTACTTCAGAAGTTGTTTAAAGACTATAACTCTTCCAAAGTGAACTAAAAATGGTCAACACACCCACTATATATAAGATTTGGCAATTAATTTATTATAAATAATCTGCACAATAGTTGTGTAAAAGGAGTAATGTGCAACATCAATATTCACAAATCAACAAAATCAAATACTTTTGTCTACATTATGTATGTACAAACATTTTAAAACTCAGTAACACAAGTATCAGAATCAATATTTATCGCCAGGAATTCATTATCTGTAATTGTTATTTATCTGAAAACATGGTGAATATTTACAGTGACTATGATTTGATTACTAAATACAATACTTCTATCTTTTAAATTACAGTCATAGCATACAAATAGTTGTGTTAACTTGACCCTTTAATATCTAATAATTTAAATTTGTTTTAATGAAAATAAACAAGTTCTACACAAATGTTTGTTCATCTTAACATACATACACAGAGGAATCACATTAACCTTCCTTTTTAAATTAAGTATTTCACATTTGATTTCCAAAAAAAGGTAAACAATCGAATATTACTTTCCCTATAGCGTTCCACTGTATTTTGTTCTGCTAAACATCTTATGATACACACTATTATTGGGACATTACAAAGGCAGCATCTGCGTAGATCAGCATTCATTCTTACATCACATTACAACTGGAGTTAAAAGAGGGAATTAGATACATCTATATTTCTATGCACATTGTTATTGAAGAATAATGGGTTTCGTTCATAACAAACATAAAATCAACCTAAAGTCCATTTACAATCAAAATCTTTCGTCCAGACATGACCAGATTGAAGTCCCCAATCTGAAGGAATCCATTCTAATGGAATGTACATGACTGACATTGGCCTGGCCTGTAAGTAACCTCTCACATTTTATCTAAATGATCCAGTAAACAGTTGCTCAACTCTACTTGTACAACAACATAGGCTAAGATGGAGCCCCACAGCTGTAACAGTCTGCTGGACAGTACCTTCACACGTGTCCGACTCGGGTACAAGTGTTTTGTGTAATCATGTCCTCTTAGATATCACAAATTATCAATGACGCACATAGCTATGACACCCTAGGTGAGATGATCACAACAGTTCCAGTCTAATGCCTGCTCGCTGTATGACATCCTCGGGCATACAATATACTGGGTTCACAGGTTTGATGGTCTCATTGCCCAGCAAAGACAGGCCACAAACACCAAAAAGAGTGTGGAACGGGTCAACCTACAAAGTAAACATTTATCATTGAAATATTGACAGAAATTCTACAACAACAACCCATCCCAGAGATTAAAATGTGTATTTACCAGAAACTAATTCACAACTATACATACTATATCAAGTCAGCTCTGTTAAGATTTTAATTTAATCTGATTGTAGAAATTGCATAACATTGATTTAGTGCAGATCACAGTATATCTCAACTATGTGATATTTTGTTTTCTCTGTCACCCTCCAAAAATACATTGGTTTTAAGGGGCGCGGGTGATATTGCCATGAGACAGTGAAAAATATCACATGCACGAAAAATATGCGTTCACCGCTTCGTTTCCCAACCGTGATGGTCACAAGAACGTTTGACGGCAACAACCAATTTTATCAAGCGCCGGTGCGATAGCGATTGTAAACAAACAAGATGTCATTATCGAGGTTTGCTGCCGTTTCTGAGCTACAAAGAATTTTGGTGTAACAAAATAGATATGACATTCATTAGCAGGTGACAGTGAATATTGTCAACCCTCAAAAACCCATTGTCACCCTCGGCTTCGCCTCAGGTGACAATGGTTTTCTCGGGTTGACAATGTTCACCGTCACCTGCTAATGAATATCATATTTATATATTGTAAACTTTGTGCTATTAAATAAAAATAGTCATATTCAATATTTACAAAATAAACCTGCCTAAGTCAAAATAAAGTTCCTTACTTTAAGATTTTGTGCTTTATTTCGATAATTTAGTTGAGTAAGATAGACTTTTTGCTTTGAAAAACGCTGCAAATAAAACCTCCCTTATTTAACCTCAAATCCCTTAAAATGATTGTAAAAATCACAGATTGGTCTCCGAGAATTCTGGCATGTATGACCACTGTTAACCCAGAAATGTGTGATGTATGATCACTGTTACCCCAGAAATGTGTGAAATGTTGATTTTAGCTTCATTTACCACATACATTAACTTACAATACAACAGGAGAACTTTTAAAGTATAACTCACTATATTGCCTGGTCTGTCAGATACACCTCCTGTTTCTTCATCTTGACAGGCCAAAATAAATTTTTCAAGCTTTTCCTGAAAAAAAAGATTTTTTATTCATAAATCACAAGAACAAAATATTCATTTTAGTCTGATAAACTATTTTGAGACTAAAAAACCTGTAAAGTGTATCACTGGATTAATAATTATAAAAAAATAGTTAATTGTATAACCGCAGTTGATGTTGTAATAACATATTATGAGCTCTTTGTAATATTCATACCATGTGGCATACAGAAACTGAATCATGAAGGTAACAAACAGACAGACAGAAAAATGACAGAAAACTTTATAACAGTATTGCCTCGTACATATCACAAATACCTTGTCAATCCAGTGGATCTTGCCGATGATTTTGAGAGAAGCAAGCACCCACCAGGAGTAACACACATCTGGCATTTTTTCTGGTCGACCTGAAAAACACAAAATGTAACCACAGTGTTCAAAATATACCATAACGGTACATCTACACAAGTAAACACAGAGTTTACCATTATAAAAGTGATATATGAAATATAGGAACATTTCTTTTATCTCATGTGATCAGTCAGAAAACATCCTGAAATAAATTCTCATTATCATTTAATGAATGCTGTTTTTGTCGATAGTGGCAGTCTTACCATTAAGGCCCCCTGAGGGAAGCTGGCGTTCACAAAGCCACCAGCCAAGGAGGTCAGCATTGATGTGGTGAAGGTTACCAGTAATGGCCAGGGTCCCCACACAGCAGTAGATCTGACCGGCGTGGGACTCACTGCCCGGGCGACACCCAAACCCACCATCAAAGTTCATACAGGTCACTACAAACTCTACAGTGGTATCCACATCTATCGCATCCAGTCGACCCTAATCAACACACAGTTTATAAGCAGGCTGATGATATAATGTAGTATACTGTACTTTATGTAAAAACATATAACTCAATAAAAAATGAATTGCATTTTTACCTGCAATGTTTGCCTTAGAAAAATTCAGTTTTTACAGTTTTAACCATTCAGTATTGAGGAATGTAAGCATCCAGTTAACATGTAACCCACACCCAAATTAGTAATGCATGTTTATATGGGAGAATGAATGAATAAGATTGTTCTGCTGACAATGTTTTTACACAACAAATAGCATCATACAACCTTGACCCTACTCTTCTAACAAGGTAATTTGAAGGGTCAAGGAATGATTTGTTTTGTTTTCGCGGGTAGAACTAGATTACTGCTACGCTGAGATTGACGTCCTTAAATGTGCTGACCACATTGTAGATAAATGTAAAATCTCTATCCTAGATTAACAATGTCTTTGTTACAGTAACAAAATCGTGCAATTCATTAACCATTTCAGTAAGTCTGACTTACCAACAGAGACAGGCATGCCACAGCACAGAAGGAAAATCTTGTATCAACTTCACCTAAAAATTCAAAACATGCAATGACTTTCTGTGAATCAATGGATGATTATTACTTAAATTTATTTGCAAATGATATTGTTGCATGTATAGGACTTATGAATACCTGAAGTTCGTTTTGAGGTGTACTTCTCGAGATTAGGAGATAACTAGACAAAGTTAGTAGAGTATCTTTTTATGTGTGTGCTTGTTCTTACCCCATTTATCACCGTAGAAACTGCCATCATCCTGTTGTAGAGAGCGGACATATTCCACAACCTTCTCCACGTTTACCATGTCAACAGCATCATACAGGGTAAGGATCTGGTTAACAGTGAGGGAAAGAGACTGTAACTTAGGTTAGAAAGCACAGGTTTAGAATAATACACAGTAGATACCTGACACTTTAACTTTCATTTAGAAAAACAAGTTTAAAACAGTAAATATTCTTTGACATAAATCTCAATAACAATACAAAGGTGGGTGTCAGGACCTACCTGAAGTTTGATGCTCAGTGTCAGAAGATGGGTATGTTACCGAGTTCATACAGCAAAGGTTGGGTAATGGGATATACCTGTACTGGTAAGGGTATCGGACCTACCTGTATGGTATAGAGTTTATATAACAAAAATTTGGATATAGGACCTACCTGTACAGGTAAGGGTATGGGACCTACCTGTATGTTGATGAGTTCATACAACAAAGTTTGGGGTATTGGACCTACATGTATGGTGCTTAGTTCATACAACAAAGTTTGGGGTATGGGACCTACCTGTACAGTTAAGGGTATGGGACCTACCTGCATGGTGCAGAATTTATATTAAAAAGTTTGGGGTATGGGAGATAAATGTATGTTGCTGAGTGTATAAAAATGAAGGTCATCCATACCTGTATAAAAGGTTTGGGGTCGTGACCTATCTGTGTGGTTCGGATTGTGTACCAGCTGTTACCTACCTGTATGGCCCCCAATAAAGTGTGTGTAGGAGGTAAGATTTGTGAGTTACCTACTTGTGTGTCAACTGATTGAGTATAGGAGGTGGGGGTCATGACCTACCTGTATGGCACTAAGTGTGTAGAGGAGGTGGGGGTCGTGACCTATACTGGCACTGATCCCACCACACTCATGCTGACACTGCTGTATAAACTGTAGGACCTGGTCTTTGTCCATGCGGTTCAGCTGTCCCATCAGGTCCATCACAGTCAGGCCCCAGTACATCCCACTCATACGAAGGTACTCAGTAATACAGTACTCCTATAAACATAGAAGGTACTCACTCAGTGATACTCATAATATATTTTTGAAACAAAAGCACGATTGGAACTGATGAAGGCTTCCTGAACATATTCATACAATGTTATGCATTCCACAATGCCAAGGTATGCTACCATATTTACTTTGCTATGGTCAGATACAAGGTATGCTACCATACTTACTTTGTTAGGGTCAGATACAAGGTATGCTTCCATACTTACTTTGTCAGGGTCAGATACAAGGTATCCTACGAGACTTACTTTGTCAGGGTCAGATACAAGGTATCCTACGAGACTTACTTTGTCAGGGTCAGATACAAGGTGTGCTACCATACTTACTTTGTTAGGGTCAGATAAAAGGTATGCTACCATACTTACTTTGTTAGACTTGTGTGTCAACTGATTGAGTATAGGAGGTGGGGGTCATGACCTACCTATGTGGCACTAAGTGTGTAGAGGAGGTGGGGGTCGTGACCTATACTGGCACTGATCCCACCACACTCATGCTGACACTGCTGTATAAACTGTAGGACCTGGTCTTTGTCCATGCGGTTCAGCTGTCCCATCAGGTCCATCACAGTCAGGCCCCAGTACATCCCACTCATACGAAGGTACTCAGTAATACAGTACTCCTATAAACATAGAAGGTACTCACTCAGTGATACTCATAATATATTTTTGAAACAAAAGCACGATTAGAACTGATGAAGGCTTCCTGAACATATTCATACAATGTTATGCATTCCACAATGCCAAGGTATGTTACCATATTTACTTTGCTATGGTCAGATACAAGTTATGCTACCATACTTACTTTGTTAGACTTGTGTGTCAACTGATTGAGTATAGGAGGTGGGGGTCATGACCTACCTATGTGGCACTAAGTGTGTAGAGGAGGTGGGGGTCATGACCTACCTATGTGGCACTAAGTGTGTAGAGGAGGTGGGGGTCGTGACCTATACTGGCACTGATCCCACCACACTCATGCTGACACTGCTGTATAAACTGTAGGACCTGGTCTTTGTCCATGCGGTTCAGCTGTCCCATCAGGTCCATCACAGTCAGGCCCCAGTACATCCCACTCATACGAAGGTACTCAGTAATACAGTACTCCTATAAACATAGAAGGTACTCACTCAGTGATACTCATAATATATTTTTGAAACAAAAGCACGATTAGAACTGATGAAGGCTTCCTGAACATATTCATACAATGTTATGCATTCCACAATGCAAGGTATGCTACCATATTTACTTTGTTAGGGTCAGATACTAGGTATGCTACCATACTTACTTTGTCAAGGTCAGATACAAGGTATGCTACCATACTTACTTTGAAATGGTCAGATAAAATCTGCTAACAAGTTGTGTGACGGACAGACAAAACAAATACAGGTACTATAAGTTCCCCACAAAAACGAATTCAGAAGTGTAAAGAAATTCCCCAAATACAATTGCTCCTAATAAATAAATAGTAGCAAAAAATACATTACACAGTATGATGAGGATCTAAACTGGATTGAAAATAGTACTTTGAGTTTAAACTACTGTCATGGAATAAAAAGTATTACATATAATCTTGTGCTTATATGTTTTATTACAAGTATTATTTTGCTTTGATATGATGCATAAAAATATTTTCCAATTTCAAAATAGTTCAGTTATTCAACTTGAGTTATTCTGACAGCCAGACAGTAAACCAGACAGTAAACCATACAGCTTTATTTTTTAATTTGATGGAGTTAAAGAAAACATCTTCAAATTATTTTATAACAGATTTGATTACATGCAGATGGGAACTCTCTAGTTTTGTCTTTTATTAAACAACATTGTTACAATATCACCTACCGATGTGTACTATATACTTACGTAATCATCTTTCTTTGATCCATATGAAGCTATGTAGTCACAGTGCTTCTGCAGCAGCAAGCTTTTCTGAGCACTGTCTGGTATAACAACATCTTTTATTGGCGTACCCTTAATTGAAAACAAAGTTCATTAATTAGTACATGTTAGTGACTGTCTGTTGAACTGAACAGTACATTTTGTATTTGACCTACATGTATATAATGACCATCTTGTCTCACTGATGATGATCATGGTCGTTGAAAAGGCCAAGTATGAAAAGGGTAACAATATGTATTGAAGACTGTACATTAGCAATGTGCAGAAACTTAAACGTTTGTCATTATGTTTAGATATGCTCTGCATTGCCAATCTATAAACCTACTAAAGTCTGCGGTAAGTTGTGAGACCATAACTCTGGTGTGAAGATCATGTCCACAGGAGATCTAAATTCTATCAATGTGGTCAGAATATATTGTCTACAGTCAAGATATAACCTTTACATATCCAACACGAAAGAAGTGAGCAACATCTTAATAATATACAGCATTTATATAGCGCCCTATATAATTTGTAAAATTACTCTAAGGTGCTTAACAACATATGGATAATAGTAATGGTTATAATTGTGAAAACAAACAACAAAGGCTTGCAATCACTTTCATACATTTAACAAGCAATGTGCACATAATTGAACAAACAAAAGGGTGGTATTTACATGACGTCTTTGCAAAGATTCTAAAATGCAGACATGAAGAGGTGAGTTTTTATGTCCCTCTTGAACTTGGCCAGGGTATTCGACTTCCTAATAGCAGATGGTAAGCTATTCCACAACGTAGCCGAAACCCTCCCAAAGCATCTGTTTCCGTAGGTCACAGTACGAGATTTTGGGACACACAACAAAGATTCTGACTCCGACCGCAGTGATCTTGACGGCTGATACAGGGTAACAAGTTCCTGTAGGTACTGAGGAGCTGTTCCATTCAGTGCCTTGTATGTGTATACCAGAATTTTGTACTGCGACCTGTATCGTACAGGTAACCAGTGCAACGAATAAAGCGCAGGTGTGATGTGCTCTCTCTTTCGAGTACGAGTAACTAGCCGTGCTGCAGTGTTCTGAACCCTCTGCAGACGACTAGTTAGTTTGTCAGATAAACCACAGAGCAGGGCGTTACCATAATCCAACCAAGAGGTAACAAGTGAATGCACCAAAATCTTGCAGGCATCTGCAGTTAGAAACTGCCAAATACAGCCGATGTTCCTGATCTGGTAGTAACAGGATTTGGCAATAGCGTTCACTTGTTTCTCCATGTTCAAAGAACTGTCAAAGTATACCCCTAGGTTTTTAACAGCTGGAACAGTCTCAATAGTTCTGGCACCAACCTTGAGCTGGAGAGCCATTGTTTGCTGACACTTTGGGGAAAAGCACCAGCCAACCTGTACAAGAATTGAAACATCCGTACCAGAATTTTTTAATGTTAAACCTTGGTACAAGTCAACTGCTATGGATTGCCAATGGTATGGATTGACTTGACTTGTGACAATCATTTATTTACTATTAAAACCTGCCACACGTCGACTCCTTTGCAACTTTATAGGTGTTCACCCTCGAACACTATCTTTACTGTAGGCGCCCAACCATATTCGGCACTTTGATCCCCTGTATACTGACTTAGTGGAAAATCTTTCCACTTCTCTTCGTCAAGTGGAAAACTGTTTTTGTTTAAGGAGAGGCATGAAGCGATGGCCTGATTCAGATATGAACTAATGACTTTCAAACACTGGCATTTTACCCACCTACAGCCTACAATTTACCTGGTAACCCAAGACAATTTGTTTTATGGAGGCAGGTTTAAATTGTTCATTTATGATCATAACATCCATCTAGCTTTAAACTAGAGGGAATTTCCCTTTAGCTTCATGCCTTGAAACTGGCTGAAAGTCAACAGATACTGGCCTTGTGATGAAGTAATTCTGAATTATTCATAATCTATACCGGTAAGTGTAAAGTTTGGTAATTTGTTATGTTCTGTATTATGTCAGGGGTTGCTTTATGGGCATTTCTGTGATAAGTTTGTGTTGTTACTTAATCAGGGTGTTTGTTCCCTTCTGCAGCTTAACCATATTACCTTAGAGTTGAAAACGTAAGCATCCCAGAGTAAAACTGGACTGGCATGATCCTCAGAGACCAGGTAGCATGGGTTACAAACTAAATTGAAAGAATGATGTACAGGGAATCAAGAGTGGGGTGAAGTATTCACTGTTTGATCTCAATGAAAGCACACAATAGAGCTCGAGGGCCACAAAAACCTGTTACAACTTGTGTCTGTGGTCCTCCCTGTGATGATGGGGATATAAGAACCTAGGTTGAAGTGGTGTTCGAGGGTAATCACCTATAAAGTTGCAAAGGAGTCACCGTGTGGCAGGTTTTAATTGTAAATAAATGATTGTCACAAGTCAAGTCAATCCATACCATTGGCAATCCATAGCAGTTGACTTGTACCAAGGTTTAACATTAAAAATTTCTGGTACGGATGTTACAATTCTTGTACAGGTTGGCTGGTGCAGATTGACAATGGTATGCAGTGACTGGAATGATATCATCCCCTTCAAGGTTTACACTTGTAGAGGAACTGGACTGGGTCGATCGTCTGCGACCAGATAGCTCAACTGGTTGAGCGTCCGTCTAGAGTTCGAACCCCGGTCTAACCGTGCATTTTTCCTCTCCTGTTACACACTGGAGGGAATTTCCCTTTAGCTAAATTGGTAGAGCAGTTGAGTGGGAAGCTGTATGCTGGTTCGATTCTCGGTGGAAGCACACTACTCTCTTTCATGTTAAAAAATTGTAATTAGGTCGATTGCCGACGACCAGGTAGCTAAATTGGTTAGAGCTTCTGGCTAGAGTTCGGGAGATCCCCGGTCCGAAACCCAGCTGTCTGGCTGTTGTATTTCTCTTTCTTCTGTTACGATCACAATGAGGATTTCTTGCATATGACATCCAAGTGACAGAAAGACATATTAAAAGAAAAAAAATCATTCACCTTATAAACAGAGGAAGAATTATATCCTCTAATTAGACTGTTTACTATTCTGTAAATCAGCCGTAAATGACTCACAGTCGTCATGATCATTAAGATGCGGTATGACGATTATAATCAGGTCCAGTACACTCTGCCGATTGAGCTATATAGCTGTAAAGACCTATAATAGCTCTATTGACCTATCTGAAATAGGTCTTTGGAGCTATTTTCAAGTGATTTTCTTTTTTAAGGAAAACGAAACAAAGTCGCTTTTAAAAGAAGACTGTATCATTAGGTTGATAACAAAAGACATTAAATATAAGGATTCTTTAAAAAAAATAATGATGTAAAAAAATCGGAAATTTTACATTTATGAAAAATGAAAATAAACATCTAACTGTATGCTTTTTGTAGTCAACATTACCATAAACCTTATTGTT